TACTTCGAGGAGCTGGCGTCCACTGGGCCTGTGTTTGCGGAGGTTGGGTCAAACCCGTCGTGGTCGAGCGGCGTCGAGGTGAAGAAGATCAAGGAGAGCATCAAGCAGAACTATTCTATGTACTCGGACTGGGATGCGGAGGTCTTCATCTACGAGGCTTCTACAACCCACCCGACTGTGGCAAAGCACCCGCTGTGGGATGAGTACGTCGTCAATCCTGCCAGTTATCGCACGATGCACATCGTCGCCGCGAAGACGCAGCAGCTGAGCGTTAAGGAGGAGGAGACGTTCACGGCTGGCGTGAGCGACGAGCCCGACTGGATTTTCACGGTGAAGATTCAGGACACTGGCAGTTGGGAGTTCATCAAGGTTCCCAATCCTAACATAGCTGCTGGTCGTGAGGATGTGCCGTGCATCGTCCTGAAGACGTGGATCGCGACTCAGCTGGCGCTGCCGAATGGGATGAACATCCTTCACAAGCTGCGCATCTTCCGCAACCACAGCGGGTTGGCATCTCATGAGAAGCTGAAGGATGGCGACATCGTGTGGAAGAATCTTTGGTACCTCTGCATCATCGACCACGAGATGGAGCCCCTCAGGGAGTACCCGGACCACGTCTCGCCCGACTCGGTGAGCGGTGGTGGCTGGAACGACGTGGTGGACGACGCTGCAGCCGAGGTTCAGGAGATGGCCGAGACGGAGGAGATCCACGGCCTTGACGGGCCGCAGTAAGTGTTCGGCGTTCTTGCCACAGAGCCTACTTTTTTCCCCCGCTGAACTCTTGTGAGTTCTTTGCACCTCCAGTGGCGCGCTGCTGCTCCATGGAGGTGCCTTTGCCCGAGGGGGGGCACTCGCATCGCATATTCAATACTAAAGGAGATGGGGAAGGAGGAAGAGGAGGGAGATGAGGAAGAAAGGGATGGGGGAGGGGAGGGATTGGGGAGGACGGGGGAAGTCACGGTCGGCGCTTGCAGCACGCTGGAGAGCAGAACGCGTGCGGTCGGCGCTTGCAGCACGCTGGAGAAACCGCCTGCTCCTCCTCCTCCTCCTCCTCATCCTCCTCCTCCCCCTTCTTTCGGCGGGTTGTCGTGGCGCCCATTATCTGAGGCGTCATCGCACCCGTCATCGGCGATGACGTGGGCGATGACGGGCGGCCCCGCCCCGACTGGCATCCACCCCCGCCCGCGTGGGGCGCGGGCTGATGCAAGTCGGAGCGGAGTCGCCCGTCGTCGCCCACGCCGGTTCGCAGATCACGTGTGCGATGACGTCAAGTGTAGCGCGTGTCTCAAGTGCGATGCAATCCACGAGTGACTAGCAGCGTGTAAAGCAAACGCATAGATTGCACCACGTAGATTGTACCGCAGAGTATATTATATAGTATACAAATGACGCTGTTTGGGGTCCAAGCTGGCTGCAACACAAAACGCAAGAACCCAAATATTCAACAACCTGTCCAGACGGCAATTCTGGCTCAAGGATTGGCTGATTTACCCGACGCCCTACATCGACGCCCTACGTCGACGCCATACCCGACGCCATACCCGACGATGGCGTCCACGGACCTGGTGGCTGAGCACCGCAGCCGGTCGCCGCGCAGGCAGGCGGCCAACGCGGAGCAGCAGGCGGCCCAGGCGGAGCAGATCACGCTGCCAAGTGCAGCGCTGAGGGCGGCGCTGGACGTGTGCAAGCTGGCCGACGTGAAGATGACCGAGGCGACGGACGCGCTCGAGAAGGCCCTGCAGTGCAACGGCAAGTGGAGCGACTCGCTCGTGCAGGCTCTCAACACGAACCAGCAGCTGGGGAAGGCCCTGGAGGCCCTGACGACGGCCCTGGAGGAGAACGCGAAGCTGAAAGAGACAGCGCAGGAGCTGACGGGCCGAGTCGAGGCGCTCGAGGGGAAAAAGAAGTTCGACCTGCTCGAGGCCAACAGCTCGAAGGACGACGACAAGGACGGCAAGGGCGGCGGCACGCCGAAGGACGACGGTTCCAAGACGGGCGACGACTCCAAGGGCGACGGCGCGCCGAAGGACGACGGCTCCAAGACGGGCGGGGGCGACACAGCCGGTACAGGCGACCTGTACGGCTTGGGCAGCGACGAGGGCCCGAGGCAGCACTCGTCCTTGAAGCAGGACGGCAACACCTACGAGGGCAAGGACAACGGCACCTACGCGGGCAAGGACGGCAGCACCTACGAGTGCAAGGACAACGGCACCTACGGCACCAACGAGGGCAAGGACGAGAGCCCCCACGCGGACAGCACGGGCGACGGCAGCGAGCAGCAGGACGACGTCGACCCCGACAGGTACCTCATCAGCAGCATCAAGAACGGGCACGAGTTCTTCGAGCGCGAGGCGAGGGAGGCCGAGGAGTGGCGCAAGCGGACTTTCGCAACGTGCGCGAAGTGCGGACTCTACCAGGTGGTGGCCACTTTTGCCTGCGTAGGGTGCTGCTGGCCAGTCTTCGTGATCTAGGCGACGCCATCAAAGGCTGAGCGCCTACACCAGCACCAGCGCCGACGCGCGGCTGGCGCCAGCACCGACGCCAGAAAAACTTTTTAGGACGAGGAGGAGGGAGAGGGGGGCTCCTAGGAGGGGGGAGGGAGGGAACCTCGAGAGACCCCGCTAGGGCCATCAACGGGCCGTATTGGAACCGTATTGGGGCCATCTTGGAACCTTGTTGGAAACGTCTTGGAACCGTATATTGGCGCCGTTTTGGAAGACCGTCTTAAAACCGTCTTGGAACCATATTGGAACCGTCTTGGACCCGACTTGGAGCCCCGTCTCCCTTCCTCACTCCTCCCTCTACGTGTGTATATAAATATGTACTTAATTTACTCGCATGCGAGTTTTAACAACATGGCGACCGTGACAATTCACGAACCATGTCCCTCGCCTGGGCGGTGAGAGTTAATATCATAGCCCAGTGAGAGTTAGGATCATCGTGTCCGCCTGAGCAGCGAAAAAAAAACACATGAAAAACGCATCGCATCGCATAGCACAGCGTTGTTCGAGCAATGCCACCGCCTGCATTGTAAAAACATTAACAATCACGCACGTATAGCACCGCACGTATAGCACCACACATAAAAACAACAACAAACAAACAACAACAGCAACAAAATCAGCAGCAGCAACACCAACAACATTACCACCACCACCAACAACAACAACAAACACACCAACAACAAAAACACCATCAACTGCATTGCTGTCACGATCTACACAACATACAGGGTCTAAAAAAAATAGCCCCTGAGCATCATTTACATGATGGGTCTAAAAAACAGACCCTGTGGACCTCAGGGTACCCCCCCCAACCCGAAATTCGGGTCTTCGGGTTGGGTTGGGGTGGTCTGGTAGGTAGTCAATGGGGGAGGAGAATGGGAGGAGGACAAATGAATACCAGAGGAGGGAGACGGGACCAAGCCCAGGCTGCCTGTTTGAGGGCATCCCTGGCCGCGAGGCGGCCGCGCATATTGGCTGACCCGGGTTTGCGAAGATCTGCGCTGCAGTGTTTTGTTCTTGCACTGCAGTCTTTGGTTTCTTGCTGACCCGGGTCTGGATCGACCCGGGTCAGAAGATCACCGAGTCGAGCAGGGGATCGATTGCAACACCGATTGGCCCCAGAGTCGCATTCGCTCGTCGATCCTCGGGGAAACACTCGGCAGATCCCGTGGATATGCGAATTGTTTCAATATTTCGGCCGTGGACTCGACGAACCAACCGCATTTGTAATATATCAATCCTGTGTATATCTCTATATATATACACACATTCATACGCACCTCCGAGGGAGTAGAGCTCAGAGGCGATTCATTGAAGGCCGCGCCGCGTCCGCGATTTTGCTGGCCAGTTCGCTAGGGACATCCTCGAAATTCTGAAAACCGGTGACTCCCCTCACACTGATCGTGACGTCAGGGTCCAAAAACACATGGGATGCTCAACATTCTAACATAACATCTTCAAAAACACCAGGTAATTTCAATGATTTTGACCCTGGTACCCCAGACCCCGCCTCGGAGCCTTCTGGGGGCCTCCTGGAACCTCCTGGGGCCTCCTGGAACCTCCTGGGGCCTCCTTGGGCCTGCGGTCTCATAGTCGGGCCTCCTGGAGCCTCTAGCCTCTTGCGGTCTCCTGGTCGGGCCTCCTGAGGCCTCCACAGACATCCTCGCAACCTCGATCCTAGACGACCCCTGCTGTGGCCTCCTGGAATATTTTCCGGCATCCTGGTCGGGCCTCCTGAGGCTTCCTGGGGGCCCGTGGTACACACATCGCAAGGTGTGGAAACAGGGCTTGCGCTCGAGTGCGACCCCGCTATTGCACTTCACTCCCAGCAGCTATCCTCCTCCTCCTCCTCCTCCTCCTCCTCCTCCTCCTGCTCTTCTCGTCCTTCTGTTTCCCTGCACATCTAGTGAAACAAATCGGCTGGTGGGAATCCGAGATGCCCTGAGCTGAGGTGGTCAGGCCACTTTCGCCTGAGACATCCTCGCAACGCTGACCTCGGAGACGCATTGCCCTCGTCGATCCTCCTGCTCGATCCCCAATCCTTTGGGGGGGCTCTTCCTCGATCTTAGATTCTTCTGCGTTCACCTCCTGCCTCTTCCCCTTCTCTTAGGCACGCCCTGGCGGCGCCGCGCCAGCTTCCCCTTCTCCATCTCCGATCCCGTCGGCATGGTGTCTTCCTGCTCCAAACGACCTTTTAGTTTGTTGTATGAGCCTGGGCACACACGTGCCACTTGTATATAGAATCAGGGGAAGGAGTCTCCTCCTCCTGCAGTATAAGCAGGGGGGAGGAGCCTCATCCTCCTCCTCCTCCTCCTCCTCCTCCTTTTCCTCCTCCTCCTCCTCCTCTTCCATGGGTGCACCTCCCGTGCACCATCGGGGCCCCAGGGAAAGCCGTTTTTGCCAGACCTTTTCCTGCAAATTTCCTTCCCCCCCCCTAGTCCTGGTTCTTCGCCCCCCCCCATTGCCAAGCGCCCGACGCGGAGCGCGCGCCAGCAGGTGCAGCCGCCGGAGACGGGGGAGGACGCCGCGGAGGTGCTCAAGAGCGAGAAAGACGCGCCCCTTCCCTGTTGCGGGCGGGGGGCACGGGGCGGGGGTGTGATCGGTCGGTTCGGAGTAACTACTCCGGATTCCATAATATAAAGTAGGGCGGGTTACATTTGGCGGGGGGGTCTGATTTGAGCTGTCTTGAAGGGTTAGGGGGGGTCTGGGCAAAGCGCCTCCCTTTCATGGATGCTCTGGGGGGGTCTAAAACTTGTGGTCTGGGAGGATTGTGACCCCCTCCCTTTTGTTACGAAATCTGGAGTAGCCAGCAGACGACCATCAGGCGCTGGGCCGCTTAGTGACGCTCAGCAGGCGCATGCTTCACAGAATCTGCCGACTGTGTGCACCGCCACCCATGCCCCATACGGTGAGTGTTTCGTCGCTGGCGTGCCATTCGGCATACCGTATACCCCGAGAACCTCGATACCCGCCTTCGTCGTCTTCGATCATCCCCCGTTGGGGACTGTCTCTTCCTTGCCTGCCACGCGTGGTTGACATGGCCCCTAGAATAGGAGCAAGAGTGCAAGAGGGACATAGCGAGGAAGGAAGGGAGGAGGACAGGAGAGTGGAGTGGGACAAGAGGGAAAATGGAGGATTCGAGACGAACAAGACCTTGCAGGAGGGGGGGGAAAGACATTGAGGACTGGTAGGCGGAGCCGACCGGGCGGGACGGGCGCGCGGCAAGGGGCGAGCTAGGCGGACCCGAATGGGCGAGACATGAAGGCAAGCGGACGGGCTTCCACGCAAACGAACGAGCGGACCCTGACCTTTTTTGGATTCGCGAGTCGAGAGCGCACCTCTTCCGGTCGAAGCTAAGCGGGCCGCGCGAAGCTTGAATTAACCAAAGACGGGGAGGAACAGGGGGGGCGCAGCCTCAGAACGAGGCCGAGCGGCCCCCGACAGGCGGCTCGGGCGGGCGGGCATGAGAGCGGGCGGGCAGGCCTCCCATAGGGCGACCGGCCTCCCCCTCCTGCCCACCCGCCCCTCCGTCCCTCCCTCGGCCCACTCCCCCCCCCCCCCCCTCCCCTCCCTCCCCCCCCCGCGCCCCCGCCGTGCGTCGTCGCTTCGCGCGCGCGAGGCCGGCCCAGAACCTGCTAGAGTCACCCCACTTCCCCCCCAGGCCTCGCCAGACCGGCCACGTCGCGGCTTCTGCGCACGTCCGAGGAGGGCATCTGTACACTACCACCGTGCCAGGCCAGGACCATCCTGGGCCCCAGGATGGTGTATAGACTCTCCTGGCTTGGGCCAGGAGGGCGTACACACCGTGTCAGGGCTTTGGGTTGCGCGAGAGACGGGCCTCCGTGGGGCTTTCTCTGGCTCGAGGAGGCCGGTGGGCGTCTCGGCGTCTTTTTGTCGCGACGCCAGAGGTGCAGGCCAACACAAGATTCGGCACGAACGATATGGGTACGGAAAGGCTGGGTCACAATGCCCAACAGCAGTTGCTATTCATTTTGAACAGGACTCGCTGTCCGCGCCGCCGCGGCCTGTGTCCATTTGATACAGAAGGCCGCCTGCCCAACAGCGGCGCTGTTGATTTGGGACAACATGTGTTGTTGGGCATTGTACAATTTTTTCTGTATTCGGGCGTCCAAGCGGATCGCGGGTTGCCCCCAAAGGGTGTGATCACCACACCGCGTGGTTAGTCAGTGGGGATGTCGGGTCACAGCATAGTTTTGGGACTCGGGTCGTTCTCCGAGGACGTCTCGGGCATCTGGGCCTCCGAGGCCCCAAAGCCGTGCGGTGACGGACCGTCGTTGGGGATTCCGAGGTCACACGCAGTACGTCGCCACAATCCGGGGCCACGACGGATCGGGCGGACGACCGAGGATTCCACGAGAGCGGCCCCAGAGGGGCCCTGAACGGCCCCAGAACTGCCCCCGCGTGCCCAACAGGTGATCGAAGGTGATCGAGGGGTGTGCGTTTCTTCACTCCACGTTTCCTGCCCCCGGCAATGGACACCCGACTCAAGATCGGTCACCGGGCCCAGGCCCATCCAGGCCGGCAGTTTCTGGAGGCCGCGTAAGAAAGAAGAGGATGATGTGGTTGACAGGCTTCATGATGCCTTGACGCCCTCGGCCGAAGGCCGAGAAAGTAGTTAAAGGTGTGGAAGAATCCGGCCACGCAAAGCCTAGCCAGAGTCAGAAAACATGGGAGACCCAAAAACAACTAAAAAATCAAACCAACTCAACCTATCCGACACCGGGTTTGGCGAGGAGAGGGAGGGGAGGAGGTAGGGCGAGGCCGTCGCCAGGGCCTCTCCGGCAGGGATTCCACCCTCCGCCGCGAGCGGCGGCCGGGCGACAGGGGCACGGGAGACAACTCCCGCGCGCGTCTCGTGCAGGGCGCACCGACCACCACCTCACCACCGACCGGGGGCGGGGGCGGGGGCGGGTCGTCAGCGACGTCGGCGTCGCTGCTCAGGCCGTCGTCGGTCCCAGTCTGGTCGCCCGCCTGAGCCGTGTCAGGAGGGGGAGAGGGAGGCGCAGGCCGCCGCTTCGAGGCCGGAGCGCCGTCAGGGCCGGCCGCGGCGGGCCGCCGATCCGCAAGCCTTCTGCGAGCCGGGGCCGGGACGGCGTCCCGGGGCAGTGGAGGCCGCGTAACGGGGTGGCGATAAATGGGAGGCAGCGAGGGTTGGCGATAAGTGGGAGGCAGCGAGGGTTGCCGAGAAGGGACCCTTTAGGGCCCCAGAAAGAAGTCATTTCGGGCCAAGGAGACTTTTAGGGGCCGCAAAGGGCACTTTTTCCCCTATTTATCTCTAGGCCTCCTAGGTGGGGTCCGAGTAGATGGGTTCGGAAGATCGCGTCGCATCGCCGACGCATCGACGATGCGGCTCGATGTGGAGCCCGTATTTCCCCACGCCGACGTCGCCGATGCATCGCTGACGTCGCCGTTGCATCGCCGATGCATCGCCGATGAATCGGTGATGCGTTGGCGATGCGGCGCGATCCTTCGACCCCATCTACTCCGACCCCATCTAGGAGGCCTCCATTATCGCTTCCCCTGAATTCGCGCCCCGTAAAGATTGGTCCCTGGGCCCGGGGCCCATGCAGGCCGCGATGATTTCGGCTGGAGCCCTTTCCGCGTCGACGGGGGCGCCCCCCAGAGGCTCGACTGCACGTAAGAGTGACCTTTCGCCGGACCGATTTGTGGTGCGGGCCCAATGGGGCCCCCCGATCGACGAATGAGATGCGGCAGTAGCGTCTTGCGCGCTCATGTTCGATCCCCCCTCGGCCCCGAAACCGCCGTGCTCCAAAGGTCACTCTTACTCGGAAGCTGGGCGAGGGCTGGCGAATCCGTGGCTGCTAAAGCGGTTTTCCCCCGGAGGAAAAAACAACTTCCCGGAGTAAAACCCAGCGCCCTGAATCGTCAGCGGGCGGCTTCCCGGATGAAAATAAACAATTTCCCGGAGCTCCGTCTCGGCAGCCACGGGTTTGCCAGCCTTCGCCTGGCGTCTCGCTTGCCCAGGGGCACGCTCCCTGCGTGCAGCCCGGAGGCACACCCGGAGCAGTGCCTCCTCCAGGGGGGGCGCCCCGAAAGGGGGGCCCTCGCTCCTGGAGGCTTGGGCCGAGCCCCGGCCCCTCGAGCTTCGGCCGCTCCGCGAGGCTCGAGAGGACGGGGGCGGCACAGAGGGGGGGGGGGGGATGACTGGGGGGGCGTCCTCCAGTTCCTCTTCTAATTCCAGGCAGTCCAGAAGATGGACTGCTTAATGATAATTTTGATGTGAGATTTGCAGCGAGTGCAGAGTGCACGTCGCGTCAGAGATCGATGGAGCTCATGGTGGTCAGTCAGTCAGTCAGTCAGTCAGTCAGTCAGTCCTCCTCCGCCTCCTCCTAGTCCTCCTCCTCCTCTTCCTCCTCCTGCTCCTCCTCCTCCTCCTCCTGGCGGGGGCCATGATATTTCCTCAGATTGCACGGCGCCTCTTCTCATATCATTACGTCCCTGGCCCCCCCCCCTCCCCTGGGCCGCGCACATGCCGCTGGCCATGATTTGCGCCCCCCCTCTTGGACGCCCCCCTCTTGGCCGACCCCGATCAAGAGACGGGGATATCAGTGCAAAGGGGGTCAATCAGAGCGCCGGATCTTGCAGGATCCTGCCTAGCCAGGGGTGCATTGATCGAGGCCTGCTAGGTGGGGTCGGGGTAGATGGGGTCGGAGGATTTTGCCGCATGGCCGATGCATCAGCGATGCATTGACGATGCGGCTCGATGTGGGGCCCGATTTTCTCCACGCTGGCGTCGCCGATGCATCGCCGATGTCGCCGATGCAGCGCCGATGTATCTCGACGAGTCGGCGCGATCCTCTGACCCCATCTACTCGGACCCCATCTATGAGGCCTCTAGTCAAAGCCCCGGATCTTGCAGGACCCTGCAGAGCCAGGGGTGCATGGACCCGGGCTTGGGTGCAGGATCCTGCAGGGTGCTGCAGGATCCTGCAACGCCTGACTGACCCGGGTCTGGATTGACCCGGGGCAGCAGAGCCCCGACTCCATCCCGCCCCGCCGCCCGGTCCTCGCCGGAGCCGTCGGCAAGGGTCGGGGAAGAGAACTCGTCGGGCGAAGAACCCAACCCTGACCAAACTCGGCGGCGAGCGAGTGGGGAAAGTGAGAAGGAGAAAACCTCAGAAAGCTCAGAAGTCCTCGGGCCTTCTGAGGAGTTCTCTAAGCCTTCCCCGATGGCACAGCAAAGTTCTCAGAAAGCGCGAGGGCTTCTGAGAAGTCTGGCCGCCTTCTGTGAAGGCATTCTCCTGCTCATTTCCCCCCTCGCTTGCCACCAAAATTCGCCTGGCGATGAACCCAACCCTATCTAAACGGAGGGCAACTACAGTCGATAAAAGGGGTAGCCTTCCCAAGGGTGCCTTGCATCCTTGCCTGCTGGGTCCATCCTTCACCCCTCTCGATGGCCAGCCCCGCTCGAAAAGCTTCGACATGCGCGTCCATGGGGCTTGCATCCTAATCGCGCATCCTTACCATCAATGTTTGATTGTATCTAAACGGAGCGCAAATGTAAAGAGGGCGGCTTAATCCACAAGTGGAGGTATCTGCAATATCCCCGCCAGCTTCGCCAACGCACGGTCAGCCACTGGGGCCACAAGCGGAGCTCTTTGGGATGCCAGACATGTGTGATGGGGGTTACCGACACGAGTGCGGGAACGCCATGTGGATACCCCCACTGCGGCCATCTGAAGAGCTCCTTGGGGGCAGGAAGCGTGTGAGGGGTTTGCCGACATGATGAGCGCCGTGTCGTCATGAGGACACACCCGCTGGGGGGCCACAGGTGGAACTCCCTGGGCGGAAACGCGGGATGGGGTGTGCCCCTAATAGGCGCTGGGACGCCATGTGGACACCCCCACTTGAGCCATATGCAGAGCTCCTGGGGGGCATGAAACGCGTGAGGGTATACCAAAACAGGTGCGGGGATGCCATGTGGACACTCCTAACTTGGGCCATAGGTCGAACACCCTTGGGGGCATGAAATGTGTGAGGGGTGTGCCGAAATGCGCGCGGGAACGCCATGTGGGCACCCGCTGGGGCCATAGGTCGAGCTCCCAGGGGGGGGCAGGAAACACACGGGTGGTGTGCCGAGATCGGTGCAAGAACGTCATGCTGACACGCCCGTCGGGGTCACAGGTAGAATTCCGTAGGAAGGCATGACCTGCGTGAGGGGTGTGCAGAAGCGGGTGCGTTGGACGCCGTGTGGACGCCCCCCGTTGGAGGCATACGTCGAGCTCCTTGGAGGCAGGAAGCGTGAGAGGGGTGCCGACAGAAGCGCGGGGACGGGACGTAGACAGCCGCTGGGGCCCCGCATGGAGCTCCCTGGCGGGGGGGGGGGGCATGGAGCGCGTGGGAGGTGTGCCCGAATGTGCGCGGCGGGACGCCGTGTGGACACCCTCTGGGGCCATATGTGGAGCTCCCCTGGGGGTGGCAGGAAACGAGTGGGGCGGGGTTGCCGAAATGGGCGCGGGGAGACCATGTGGGCACCCCCATTGGGGCCATAGGTGGAGCTCCCGGGGGGGGGGGGGGGGCACGAAACGCGTGAGAGCATGAAGCGCGTGAGAGGTGCGCCGAAAGCACTGCATGCATCAAAAGCAGCGGAGCGGCAGTGATGAGGAGAAGGAGGAAGGAGAAAAAGGGAGGGAAGGCGATCATGAGGAGGAGAGGACCTGGAATGCAGGAGGGAGGAGGAGGAAGGGAGGGAGGAGGACGATAATGAGGAGGAAGGGGAATGGGAGGGTGGAGGACGCTGAGGACGAGGACGTGGACAAGGGAGGTGGAGGAGGGAGGAGGGAGAGGGAGGAAGGAGGAGGGAAGGAGGAGGGAGGGGGGAGGGAGGGAGGGAGGGAGGGAGGAGGGAGGGAGGGAGGGAGGGGGGGAGGAGGAGGAGGAGGAGGAGGAGGAGGAGAAGGGAGGGAGGGAGGAGGAGGAGGGAGGAGGGAGGAGGGAGGAGGGAGGAGGAGGAGGGAGGAGGGAGGAGGTAGGAGGGAGGAGGGAGGAGAGATGAGGGAGGAGGAGGAGGAGGAGGAGGAGGAGGAGGAGGAGGATTCGCTGAGGATTCGCTCGCGGACGTCTCGTCGAAGCGGCCGTAGGCGCGGCGACGGAACGTTGGGAGGCCGCCCCCTCTCTCCTGGGCGGGCGGGGTGCCTCAGAACTGCTCGCACGCCTGCATCCCAGCATTGTAGCTGAAGGCTCGGCTCCTTGCGTCCAAGGCTGTGCTGTAGCTGAGAACGTTGCGTTCCAGCTCCCCGAGTCCTGGCGTCCAAGGTTTTGCTGTAACTGGTGTCTGCGGGTACCAGCTGCTTCTCTACCTTGGGCTCCAGCTTCGCCTCCCGCGTCTCGCATGAGGGCGTCCGCGCCGAGCCTGTCTCCCCCTTTATCGCACGAGTTGATACCAGCGTTGTAGCTGGTCTAGCTCGGGCGCCAACTTCGCCTCCCACTTCTCGCACTGGGACGGCCTTTTCGCCGTGCCAGCTGCTGCTGCCACTGCCGCTCTTCGCCCAAGGCGGCTTGCCAGCTCCTGCTGCCGCTGCCGCCCGTCGCTTCTCGCACAAACCGCTCCCAGCCTGGTGGCCGATCTTGGCTAGCTCGCGCTTCTCCCGTCGTTTCTCGCACGAACCGCTCCCCGCCTGGTGGCCGATCTTGGCTAACTCGTGCTTCCCCGTGAGGCTCCCACTGCAGTCCCTGCCTTCCGCTTCGCTTGCCCTGATCCCAGCGCTGTAGGTGATGGCGTTGGGCTCGTCCTTCTGTTCTGGTGTAGCTGCTGCCTGGTGGCGCCCCAGAGCCAGCCTATGCTCGCCTCGCCCCCACGGTGCCTGCAACCACTGCCCGCTCTTCTCACAAGCTCCCACTCCATCGCTGTAGCTGATGGTGCCTGGGTGCGGTGCCCACAATACGTCGTCTCCACTGCCTGCTTCCCTTCTCGCACGAGCGGATCCCTGCATTGTGGCGGATGACCCACTCCCGCGTTTGCCCTCGTCCTTCATCGTCGACATGCCCTGATCCCAGCAATGGTGCTGATAACGTTGGGCTCGTCCTTCGTCTCTAGGTCCCCTTCGTCGCCGCCAGCCGCCCGCTCGTAGTCGGTTGTAGCTGATGGCGTTGGGCTCGACCTTCGCCTTCCACTTCTCGCAAGGGTGTGGCTGGTCTGGCTCCCTCGCCGCCGCCTGCTCCTCGCTGTGTGTCTCGTCTATGCCTTGGTCCCAGCGTCTGTAGCTGATCACGGCGGGCGCGTTCTTCGCCGCGTCGCAGCGTCGGATTGTAACGTCGAAGTGCTGGGTGAGTAGCGCCATAGCCTGCCGCCACTGCTCTCCCTTATCGCACTCATTTTTCCACACCGAGGCCTGGCCCTCCGGAGGGAGCGTGGGGCTATGGACACTCGGTGTTGGCCCAGCTTCTTGATGGCGGGGGGGGGAGAGGACGGGGGCGAGGGGGGGGGGCGCGGAGAAAGAGAGAGGGGAGCCATCGCGAATCACGGCCTGGCTCGCGGGGGCATGGCCTCTTCTAAGTTTACCGCCCGCAACCCGGGGTTCCCCCTGCCCCGAGAGAAAAGGCTGAGGTGGAGGAGGAGGAGGAGGAGGAGGAGGAGGAGGAAGAAGAGAGGGAGGAGGAGGAGGAGGAGGAGGAGAGGAGGAGGAGGAGGAGGAGGAGGAGAGGAGGAGGGGAGGGGGAGGAGGAGGGGAGGAGGAGGAGGAGGAGGAGGAAGAGGAGGAGAAAGGGAAGAGGAGGAGAAAGGGAAGAGGAGGAGAAAGGGAAGAGGAGGAGGAGGAGGAGGAGGAGGACGAGGAGGAGGAGGAGGAGCAAGGAGAGGGGTAAACGCGCGGCGCTGCGGAGTCAAAACGGGGACCCAACACACAGGAGGGTTGGGAAAAGACCGTAAACATAAATTGTCGGAGGTCCGCGTCGATGTCTTGGATCTGCGCTGGAACCCCCCAGCGGCGGCTCCGACGCCGCCAACGGCCCTCGCGCCAAGGAGGGGGTGTCCAGCGCCGATCCGAGCAGCACGCGCGGACCTCTGGAAGTTTAAGTCGATTCCGTTTTTCTTGAATCGGGAGTAGTTTGTTGTTCTTTCTTTATTTCTTTGTTGTTCGCGAGCACTGGCTGGTAGCAGTGATACGGATGTCGGAATGCTTGCGCGGTGCATGTCATATCCTCCCACGTTCGGCGTTGCACGTTGTTCATGCATGAGACTAGTTGGTGACCATCCGTCGCACGCTCGCGTGACATTCGTGGAACACTGCGAGCCTCCACGCCGCGTATCCTTGTCAGCATGTTTAATCACAGTCGTAGCATGGTTATTGTTCTTAGCATTAGCCGTATGACTAGTAGTCGTATTGTTGCTAGCGTGTCAGTTTGTATTATAAGGATCGTGATATGAGTAGTAGGTTCATGTTGCTCATAGTGTTTATTGTTGTTATCGGCTTGCCCGTACGAATCGTACATTGGTAGTATTATGTGTGTGGTAATCGTGTGGTAATCGTGTGGGAAGTATTATGTGTGGTAATCGTGTGGTAATCGTGTAATATTGTGTTGCTATGCTGCTATGCTTATTTCTCTCGCAAGCGCGGGGCGCGCCCGCGAGGAGCGCCGCAGGGCGGCGGCGGAGCGCAGGCAGCGGCGCGAGCAGAAGGAGCCTCCCGCCCCCCCCTCGAGAATAAGACCGATTGCAACCACTTCGGACTTTTCAGAAATTTTTCAATCGCTTCGCTCACTCCGCCGGCCCGTATTGCATGATCGCGACTGCTTCGACGCGGGCTCGGGGCCATTTCGGCGCCGCCGGAAGGAGGAAGATGAGGATAGGGAGGGGGAGGGGAGGAGGAGAAGAGGATGAGAAGGAGCGGAGGAGGATGAAGATAACTATGAGGAGGAGGAGGAGGAGGAGGAGGAGGAAGAGAAAAGGGCGGAGGAGGAAGCCTGTCGATGGCATCTTGCGGCGCTCTTGGGGCCAAACAGGGCCGTCGTCCAGATGCTTCTTTGGGAGGCCCTGGGGTCTGTTGAGAGGCCGTTCGGGGCCGCCTGGGAGACATTTTGAAGCCTTGTAGGGTCTCTTTTGAGCCTCCTTGGAGCCTCCTGGGGTCTCTTGGGGGTCTCTTGGCGGCATCTTGGACCAACTTGGGGGCCTCTCGGGGCCTCCGCCTGGGGCCCTCTTGGGGCGGAAGGCTTGAGGTTTCGGTTCGTGGTCCCCATCTTGGGCCCCTCTTGGGGCCGTTTTGGGGCTCTCTTGGGCCGTCTTGGGCGTCTCTTGGGTCGTCTCGGGGCCCGTTTGGGCTCTCTGGGGGCCTTCTTGGGGGCCTCTTGAGCCGTCTTCGTGCGCTCTTGGGGGCCTCTTGGGCCGTCTTAGAGCATCGGAAAGCCGAAAATGCGACAAGGCCAAAATCCTTCCAAAACCATAGTAAAATTCATGATTTTGGCCTCTCGGGGCGCTCTTGTGAGGCCTCTTGGAGGCCACTTGGAGCGTCTTGGCTCGACGAGCCGAAATCCTTCACATCAGTAATTTTGGGTCTCGGAGCCCACAGGGCGGTTTTTCATGTTGTCCATTCGACGTTCCATGAAGCCCGATGTCATTCCGAGGCCGCGCGTCGAACGTTTTCGATGGCGCGTCGCGTTATGCGATGTCACGTGCGTTGGGGTCGTCAAAGGCTTGCGTGCTTGTTGCGGATCGGTTGATGTGGGCTGGGGTTTCTCAGGATTGTGCATTTGCTTTGCGCTGGGGCGGTTTCGACCCCCATCCCTGGCTGATCCACCCCGCGGGTAACGTCGCAGGAAGAGTTCGATCATTTTGTTCGTAGTGCCAGCGATGCTGTCGCGGACATTGACCGCGCCACGGGGGGGGTCGTCCAGAAATTTCCTACCATATTGCAGTGTTGGTTCTTCGTTTTGAAGAGACACCGCCCCGCGTCATTCCTTCCGGCCCCCTCCCTCGTCCTCCCTCTTCGCGTATCTGCCCCTGCTCTCCGCGTGTCTCCGTCGTCATCGTCCATCGTCATCGTCGCCATCACCATCATCATCAGCATCATCAGCATTCTCGCCGTCTCCATCATCAATACCACCACCATCCTCATCAACATCATCAAAACACCCCCCTTGTTCCCCCGCGTCTCTGCTTCGCCACATCCCCCGCAAGTCTCGTGGCCTTGTGAGGTGCTCCACCGAAGGCCCCATCGGCAGGGTCCTTAGTGCGCCGCCCAGCCCATGTCGGCACGCCCTTCAGACGCTTCGTGTCCCCATGAGGAGCTCATCGGAGGTCCCGGCGGCAAGGTCCACATGCCGTCGCCCAGGCCACATTGATGACACCCTCAAACATTTCGTGCCCCTATAGGCAGCTCCACCAAAAAAAGGTCCCAGCGGCAGGTTTCCCAGGCCGCCGCCCAGCATATTTCGGCATACGTTTCACACGCTTCGTGGCCCCACGGGGAGCTACACCGACGGCCCCACAGGCAGGGCCCACAGGCCGCCGCCCAGCCCATTCCGTCATACGCTCACAAGCTTCGTGGCCCCATTGGGGAGCACCCCCGATGGCCCAAGCGACAGGGTCCACATGCCGTCGCCCAGCCCATGTCGTCCACGAGTGGCGCCCAGCACGGCTCCAAGAGCGCCCCAAGCGGCGCCGAGTAAGTTGCACCCTCATGCAAATAGTTTGTACCACTTGTGGGGGTCCTTTTGGGGCCCTCTTGGAGCATTCTTGGGGCCCTCTGGGAGCGTTCTTGGGGCCTTCCCGGGGCCCCAGTGGGCCCTCGGAGGGCCCCAAGAACGTTCCCCGAGGGCCCCAAGAGGGACCCCCCAAAGTGGTACAAAGAATTCGCGCGAACGTGCAATCTGTTGTAGGCCTTTCGGGGCCCTCTGGGAGCTCTCTTGGGGCCCCCATTGGTGGCGCCTTGGGGCCTTGGGATGGCTCCAAGAGGCTTCGGGATTGCCCCAGACCGCCACAAGACAGCTCCGAGACGGCCGTCGAGCACCACGGGTGAAAGCAAGTGAGGCTAGGGAACAGGGCCTCTGGTAAGCCGCCACTGCGCCCCCTGGACTACCCAGACAGCGAGGGGACCTGAAACGCCCTGGGGCTCCAGGGGCCCCAGATTAGTGAAGTGAAGGTTTTTGCCATGCAAGCACCCCGAAATTCTTCACTTCACTAAACCGGACCCAGGACGAACTCGCTACGCTCCAGTCCCGCGGGAGATCCAAGACTCCCGCCGCCGCCCGGGGACGTTGCTGCATTGCGGTGCTCTGGTCACTGTTAATGGCTTCCGCGGGCTGCAGCGGCTCACTTCCATGACTACCCCGACTCACGAATCCAGTGGTTGGTCTGGCTCTATGGGTTGGTTTCGTTGTGTCGGTTGATTTTATGCTTGGTTGGCGGTCGGTGGATTTCGCGTTGTTCATTGGTGTCGTGAAGTGATTTGTCGTTTGGTTGGTCAGTGCCGTTTTGTTGATTCGTGCCGTTTTGTTGGTTGGTGTCGTTTCGTTGGTTGGTGTCGTTTTGTTGCTTGGTGTCGTTTTGTTGCTTGGTGTCCTTTTGTTGGCCGGTGTCGATTTGTTGGTTTGTTGGTTGGTGTCGGTTTGTTGGTTGGTGTCGTTTTGTTGCTTGGCGTCGTCCTGGCGGCGTGGCCGATAATCGGCGGCCTGCAATGGCGCCAGGATTTGTTTCGGGCCAGCCTTGATCGCCCTCATCATTCTCATATTCGTCAGCGTCAGCACTCGTCGCCCCCATCCGCGCACACATGCGGCCCTGGTACGGCTCTCACGCGGCCCTGCGAAGGCCTTCACTGTGCTCCCCAAAGCTTTCTGAGGGGCCCCCCAGAGGCCCCAAGAGGGCACTGGAAATTGTCGCTTCCAACTCCGCCAGGCGGAGGTCAACAAGGGTCTCACTGGTGCACTTCCAGGAATCGTCGTTCGATCCTCTTGGGGCCCTCCTGGGGCCTTCTGGAGCCGTCTTGGAAGCTCCGAGCGGCTCCATGAAGGCGCCGGGCGATATCGCTTCCAATTCCGCCAGGTGGAGTTAGACCAGGGGCTCACTGAGGCCCCTTTTTGCGCCCTCCTCTGCCTTTGAAAAAGCCCCGATGGGGTTCTTCAGTGCCGTCTTAGGGCCCCTAAGAGGCCTCCAGTAGGGTATTGAAGTTATCGCTTCCAACTCCGCCACGCGGAGTTGAACCCAGGGCGGCTCTCTATGGCCCTTTCGGGGCCTTCTTAGAGCTTTTCTGAGGCCCTAAGTGGGCCCTGGGAGGTGTCATTTTCACGGGCGTTGAAAGTGACACCGCGGAGGGCCCTCTTGGGCCCTTCTTGGGGCCTCTCTTGGGTCCCTCTGGGAGCCCTCTTGGTGCCGCCCTGGGGCCTTCTCGGGGCCTTCTTGGAGCCTTTCTGGTGCTCTTTAAGTGGGCCCTGGGAGGTGTCACTTTCACGGGCGCTGAAAGTGACACATCGAAGGGCCCGCTTTCCCTCGTAGCGCTGCCCGTGGCCGGGGCATTGTGCAGCGCATCCCTCGTCGAACGTATTTTGTCGGACGCGTGGTCGAATTCCGCCAGTTCGGTCGAGATGGTGGTCAAGCGGTTCGGTTGCAATGTAGCCATGCGGATCTGAGCTTACCATTTCTTGCCATTTTGGCGGGGATCGCAGGAGCGTTTGTGTTGTGATCGACTGTGCTCGATATATCCAGCGGCAGCGTTTCATCCCAATATATTATTTAGAAAAAGTCAGCAGGGGCCAAATTGCTGATGTGAAGCAACATAGGTCTCGTATTGGCGGCTTCTTGGGCAGTCTTGGGATCATCTTCGGCGTCTTGGAGCGTCCTTTGGGCGTCTCGAGGGCCTCTTGGGCAGTCTTGGGGGCCTCTTGGGGCCCTCTTGGCGCGCTCTGGGGGGCCTGAGAGGCCGCACCCAGGAGGAAAACCATCTGAGTAGACCTTCCCGGGACCTTCCCGGGACCTTCCCGGGCTGCGGTCGGGGTACTTTTCGCCGGGGGGCCCAGGGGCCGCCCCGCGCGCCCGAACTAGAAGAATTGTGAACCAGATACCGGAGATCTTAGCACGCATCTGGCCCGTTGGGCCGGCGAACTTCGGTCAGAGTGCAACCACTGGAAGCGGACTGATCGCAACCTGAAGGATTCGTAGTCCAATCTTTGTGGAGAACACCGGGTTGCAACCGATCCAAGAGCTTCTGCAGAGCTTCTGCAGAGTTTCCGACGAGCTTCTGCAGAGCTTCCGAAGAGCTTTTGAAGAGTTGACGCAGAGCTTCGGCAAAGCTTCTGCAGAGCTTCCGAAGAGCTTATGCAGAGCTTCCGAAGGGATTCTGAAGAGCTGACGCAGAGGTTCTGCAGAGCTTCCGAAGAGCTTCTGAAGAGCTGATGCAGAGTTCCTGAAGAGCTTATTCGAAGCGTCCGAAGCGCTTTTGCAGAGCTTATGAAAAATTGTGCCGAGCTTCTGCAGAGCCTCTGCAACATTTCTGCAGAGCTTCTACAGAACTTCTGAAGAGCTTTTGCAGAGATTCTGCAGAGATTCTGCAGAACTTCTGCAGAGCTTCTGCAGAGTTTCTGAAGAGCTTATGCAGAGATTATGAAGAGCACCCGAAGAGCTTCCGGAGGCTCACGCAGAGCATCTGAAGAGTTTATGCACAATGCATGCACAGCTTCTGCAAAACTTCAGCAGAGCTTCTGAAGAGCTTGCGAAGACATTCTGCAAAGCTTATGCAGAGCTTCTGGAGAGCTTTCGCAGAGCTTCTGAAGAGCTTCTGCAGAGCTCCGGAAGAGCTCCTGCACAGCTTCTGAAGATTTTTCAGCGAGGATCCGTAGTAATTGGTAGGACCCTTAGGAATTCTCAGGATTCCGGAAAAGACCCTCATAGGATCCCGGCGAAGTCCTCAGACGAATCACATTGGCATCGTATACGAATCACATCGGCCTCGTATACGACTCACATAGGACTCGTATACGAATCGCATGGGAATTCCATCTACGAATTACATAGGAATCGTGTACGGATAATGGCCACGTTCGAGCTCAAGTACATGTGTTTAGCTGAGATCATGATCGGCTGTTGGTGATCGGCCGTTGGTGGTCGGACCGATCGCAACCGCTGTTTCAGATTCCCACCGGACGGCTTAAGGGAGTTCAGTGCACCCAGAAGCGGTCTCATGATCTCCCTTTTAATCGAAACCTTATTGCAGCGACTCAAAAAAATCGCAACCACTTCGGACCGATCGCAACTGGTTGTGATCAGACCGAAGTGGTCCACGATTGGTCCGAAGTGGTTGCGATCGGTCTCCATCCCCCCCTCATTTCTTCTCGGACTCTCGGCCTGGAAGCGCGACGGCCAAAGATCACCCAGCGAGTGTTGCCTCGCTTCTCCGTCGGGCGTCGGTGCCACTGCAGCGCGTGATTGCACATGATTTGCATGAGTTGCTGCAGGTGTGCAGGACTGCGTGAATGCATCATTGCGCGAGTGTGTTGCGAACCGGAGCCGCCGAGGTTCGAATCTAGAATTCACAAGACACGTCCCAGAGCCATGCGGAGAAGTTGCGCATTCACAGTTGAAGAGCTCTTTGGTATCATCTAGACGGAGGTCAATGCAAGTGGGGGTCGACCAGAGCGCTAGATCTTGCAGGATCCTCCAGAGCCAGGGGCGCACTGACCCGGGCTCGGGCGCAGCATCCTGCAGGATCTTGCAGGATCCAGCAAGGCGCGACTGACCCAGGTCTGGATTGATCTGGGCCAGTTGATCCCCGACTCCGCCCCCCCTCCTTCCCCAGACATGCCTGCGTCGCGAAAAGAGAGCACGGCGGACGGTGTTCGAGCGAGTTCGGTTTCGTGGGGCCCTGACTGGGCCACGGGGCCGTCATAAGACAACTCGGGGTGGAACAGCGGCCTGGGGGACAGGGTCGGGACTCCAGGGGGCCCCTACTGAAAAGAATCAGACATCGGATGTGTGAGTCCACCTGTCCTTCCATCTCTCCCCCCATGCACCTCCCACTCAACGGTTCTCTCCTCCCGGGTGCTGCAAGGGGGTTCTGCGCGCCCAGAGCGGGTGCCAAATAAGTGGACACGATGCCCAGCAACAGTTCCTGCTCGTTTTGGAGCAGGATTGCTGCCCATGTGTCAGCTTCTCTTGTGTCCGCGCGCGACATTCCCACGCCGAAAATCGATGGACGCCCTGGGGTCTCCGGGTTGGGTTTCTTTTGAAGGTTTCTCGTGGACTGGCCTCCACCGTACAGCATCGTCCCCATTCCGGGCGTGCCAAGTTTGGCATCCTGAAACCCTTGCTTATACAGACTTAGTCACCAGAAGGACTGAGGTTCCAAGCTTTTTGGCGCCTCCAGGGGCACGATCGTCGCCAAAGCTGAATTCCCTTCGACACTCGAGCCTAAACACACCCCTGGATAGATCCGGGGGTAGATGTTCGGCTCGAGGGGGTCCAGTTCGCAGCTTTCTGGCTTCGGGGCCCCCTCCGGGCCCCAGGTCGAATAGAAAACAGCTCGCAGTGAAAGCCTCGCCCCACGACACGATGCACCGGCTGCGCCTTCGAGGCGAGACGATGCCCTGGCCATCGGGAGCGCTCTGGGGCGGCCCCGGCGCCCGATGCCTCCCCCGGACCCGTCAGCTCCTCCTCGTCCAAATGGGTCCCCCGTTTGCCTCAGTTCCGCTGCACACCTTAGGCGATGCTTAAGAAAACTCGAGTTTTCGGCCAGAGTCTCGATTATTCTTAACGTTTCAATGTAAATCTTAATAGAAATGTTTGGTTTTTATTTAAGTTCTCAGACTATGAATTTCTTAACCCATGATTTCTTAAGCATTTCGCAGGGTGTAGGGTGCAGCTGCAGGCATGTAAAATTCAGACTCGGCGCTGGCACATCCTCGGTCGAAGAGTGGTTCAATCGGCCTTAATCCCGGCCAGTGTGGCGGAGTCCCAATCCCAACAGATCCAGCTGGGGTCCGCGCTAGATCGGGCCCGATCTGGCTCAGATCGTGCTTCATGCCGCTAACTCGTCCTGACGAATACCTCCAAGGAGTTTCCTCACCTGGCTTCCTCTCGCGGTGCGCCCTCCGACTGTACAGGGGCCGTGGTGCGCAAGACAGAGGCCGCCCAGCGGGGGTGCGGGGATAGCGGCCGGAGGGAGGGGGCTCTACTGAGGGGGGGGGGCGGGGCGGAGCCCCAGAGGGAGTCCTCCTCGAATCGGGGTTCCCCGAACGGGGCGACGGACTTCGCCGTGCGGTTGCCAGGGACACCGAGGCCACCGTGCGGCCCGTCACCGCACGATGCTGGGACCCCTTGCCCGGACCTCGAGGGTCGAGCGTCGAGGTCTCTTGGCGGCCTCCGGGTCCTCTGGCCTCTCGGGGCGGGCTGGCCCTGTTCCGTTGCCCCCGACGTCCTTCTGTTTCAGGACGGGGCCCCGACTCTTTTTCCCCCACGGCCAGAGAGAGAGAGAGAGAGAGAATGGGAGATCCCCAATCTCCTCACGCGCGCCTTTTCTCCCACGAGCGCCTCCGCTGAGCAGGTCCGGTCGACCATGCTTCTGCGACGCCGGCCGAAGGTGCCTGACCGATGCTTGCGAGCACCCTCCAGGGGCACCGCTCCAGAGATCCGAGGTGCTGTTGTGCAGCACGGGGCTCCCAGAAGCCCGACCCGTTCCCCAGGGCAGGCAAGCATATCATCCTGAGTCTTGCGGTGTTTGCTGCGGTCCCAACGCCTGGCGAGGGCCCCTGGGGGCCGAGGCCTGTCGAACAATGATGCGCTTGTATGTTTTACCATACGTTGGGGTCCAGAGAGAGAGAGGGAGAGAAAGACAGGGAGGAAGGAAAAGAGAGAGGGAGGATGCTTGCCGGCGCGCGCACTAGAAGGGCGCGAGGGTGGTGCCTTCTATCAAGGCGGGGTGTTTCTTAGAAGGCTGAAGTCGGGCATGTCCTTCTACAGGAGGAATATTCAAAAATAGTCAAACAATGGTCTAGGGATGATGCTTTGATTATGTTTGAACTCTGTTAGCGTATTCGCTTGATTATTTCTGATTGTTCGTCCAAAGTCCGCCTGTAGGGGGACATGCCCGACCTAACAGAAGGCGGGGGGGGGCCTTCGGAGCGGGGCCTGCAGGCCGAGGAGAGGCCTCCCCCGAAGCCGCGGGACGGCCGCCAAGAGGCCCCCCGCCCTCCGAGACGTGTCCCCGGGCTCCCCTTGCAAGGCCGCCCCCCGCGCGCCGCCAGGGCATCGAGCGGCCGCCCCCCGCCCCCCCAGCGTGTGACGCTAGATAGTTCGCGGCCATCCCCGCATCTAGGCCTCCCGGATGGGGTCGAAGCAGGGTGGGGTCGGAGGATCGCGCCGCATCGCCGATGCATCGCCAGTGCATCGCCGATGCGGCTGGATGCGGGGCCCGACTTGCTTCGCGTCGACGTGGGCATCGCCCACGTCGACGGTGCATCGCCGATGCATCGCCGATGTATCGTCGATGCGGTGCGATCCTCCGACCCCCGTCTACTTCGACCCCATCTGAGAGGCCTCCACAGCAGAAGCCTGGAGAGCCGTTGTGCGGCACTACTGCCCGTAGTGTGGCAGCATTGCCCATGTGCTTCGACACGCGGCCTGCCCCCGCCTCCCCCACACCGAGGAGCAGCGGAAGGTCGCGAGGATACGGGCGTTGGTGGAGCAGCTGTACGAGGACCGCCCAGGGCGCCCACTTGCCAAAGGCCTTTTTTTTCCTGGGCCGAGCCGCGGCGCGAGGCGGCCCTGGGGGCCCACGAGGCGTCCCCAGACCCCCTCGCACCGCGAAGCAAAAATCACGACGGGAGGCGTTTCACGATTTTCGGCCTCCAGCGGCCCTTCCCAAGCCTCGGGGCCGTCCAACAACGACTCAGGATGAGAGGCCGGTCCCAGGGAAGGGATCCAGACCTCTGGGAGTCGACGTTGTGACAACACGACGTCGCGGCCCTGGGTCTTCTCGTCGCGAACAACTCCCGACGGAAGGTTTTTGCACGTTTTTGGCATCTACGGCCAGGGGCCCTCGGCATAAACATTAACTGTTTGGCGCTCCGCGCGGATTTCTTGGATCTGCGCTGGAGCCCCCTGGCGGCGCCTCGGGTGCCGCCCCTGGCGCGCTCCGCGCGCCGGGGAGGGGGGCCCAGTGCGGATGCAGGAAGTCCGCGCGGACCTATGTTCATGCCGTTTGCTCCTCCTCCTCTCGAGGGAAGTGAACCCCACCCCCACCGCAGAAATCGTGGGGGGTAGGGGTAGGGTTCGCATGTGGCCCCCTATCCAGGTCGACGTTTCCCTCGCTGTGCCGCTCCCCCCCTATCGTTGCCCCTGAGGTCCAGACCCCTGGGGGTCCACGCTGTCGGACTTCTGGGAGGGGGGGGAGCCGGGCGGGCCTGGGATGAGTACAGATCGCTTCGGGGCGCTCTGCTACGGCCGCAGCATCGCCGGTTTCAGATGTTCCCGATGTACATTCAAGCCGCATAGTAATAGTAAGGATGGGCAACCTTCCCAAGGGTAACTACCCTTGCATCCTTACCTCCTCGATCCATCCATGGCTGCTTCTGCTGGCCGTCCCCCGCCCGCGAAGTGTCGGAGCGGTCTGCCAAGGCCCTTGCATCCTTGTCGTGCGTCCTTCTGTCACAGTCGAGGCTGAACAGTAGGTCGACCCTGCCAAATTGCGGGGTACCCTTGTGTCCTGTGCCTCGCGACCCGTGTTTGCACATTCATATGGCAATGTGGCCCTCGGAGGAGTCTTGGTGTCCTCTCGCGTGTCCTCTTCAAGCCACCCCGACTGTACGTGTCGGCTGTATCCTCACCCAGGTTTGCCTTCGTGCTGCCTTCGCCCCCGTGTGGACTGCTAGGGGTGCGTGGCTGCCACGGCCGAGGCCACGGCGTCTCTCGGATGTCGCGGCTCCCCTGCTCTCATTTCCGCCCCCCCTCGTCCCGCGCGTCCGCGCTCGTGCCTCGGCTTCCTGCGCGCTGCCGCCCCCCCCCCCCGTCCCTTCCGGACCTTCCAGGCGGGCGCAACAACAGCACCTGCACCCAGATACCCGACTCCCAGTCGAGGGTGCATGCAGTCCAGAGAGGTCTATAGGTGCCTCGGCCCCCTGCGCGTTGCCGTCCCCCCCTCGTCCCTCCCAGACGGGCTCAGAAATATTGCACCGGGACCTAGATACCCGAATCCCAGTCGAGGTCTCAAGCAGTCCAGATAGGTCCATGAAGTGCAATGTTTCAGCACTCTGGAAGGTCAGGGTTCCTGGCCCCGCCACCCCTCTTCGGCTTATGATTTTCCAACTACTTTAGCCTGAATCACTAGACGGAAATTCGAGCACCAAGACCGTACCGAAAGTGGAGGGTGTTCACGTTTCGGGCTCTGGGAGATGATACTCGTTCGACACTGTTTCGATACTTTTTCCGGGTGCTCGGAATTGTTGCTGGGAGTTGGTCCTCAAGTACGATGGGACCCATGGGAGCAACATAATCTTCGGCGAGCCCGAGCGGCGCGGGCTGCACCGTCTCTGTGCCCAGGGCTGGCTGGGCCAGGGCCGGTCGGCGGCGCGCAGGGAGGGGTCGGGGCTCGAGCGGCGGGGGTCGACGCCAACGGAGGGGTCAGTCAGGGCGCCGGATCTGGCAGGATCCTGCAGGGCCAGGGGCGCACTGACACGGGCTTGGGCGCAGGATCCCGCTCGGGGATCTGAGAGTGGGGGGGTCATAAATGTGGGGGTGGCGGGGGAGGTCAAACAAAAGGTACCCAAACGGTACCTAAACGAGCCCCCTGGGGGCTCGGGAGTGGCCCGAAAGGGGCACGAAAGGAAACCGTTTCTGACCCCCCCATTTACGACCCCCCCATTAAGCCACGCCCGACCTGCAGGATCCTGCAAGGCCCCTGCTGGGCCGTCTGGGGGCTCTCTTGGACCGTTGTCGGCGCCTTTGGGGGGCCTTTGGGGCCGTCTTGGGATGAGCTTTGGGGCCTCGTGGGCCAGGTTGAGCCCTTCTGGGCCCGAAAACCGGAGAACCCGAAAACACCTTCAAAAGCCTTAGAGGGAAATCAATGCGTTTGGCCTCCTGAGGCCCTCTTGCGGGCCTGTGGAGTTAGGTTCGGCAATTATACTACAGGAGGTCCATCGAGAAAACCAGCCGAAATCTTCGGACATTCTTCAGCAGGAAACTCAACCTCCCCAAAAACTTGACAACATCTCTAAACCCAAACCTGCGGAAATCTCAAACCCTAAAAAACTTCAAATTAATCTAAACCAAAACCTGCGAGCATCTCAATTTCTGAAGAGAACTGCAAAACATCTCTAAACCAAAACCTGCGAAACTCTCAAACTCTAAACAACTTCCCCAAACAAACAAAACCACAACCTGCCAACATCTCAACATTTAAGCAGGAGTTTGCATGATTAGTTGTTGTTTAAGTTGTTCCAGAACATGTTTTTGAATTCGCCAGACTGTCAGAAATGTGTTTAGAGTTGTTGATAATGTTTTCTTACAGGTTTTAGAATTGTGTCAGAGTTGTTTTGTGAGTTTTTAGGCGTTTTAGAGTTTGGTTGAAATTCGTTTGTTATAGTTTGTTTAGGGTTTGTTTGAGTTTGTAGGCGCTTCGAGTTTGGTTAGAGCTGTTTGGTCATCGTTGTTTTAAAGTTATGTTAGCGTTCCGGTTTTAAGTTTGTTTAGGCTTGAGATTTCCCCTAGCCGCTTCATGTAAAACATACGCAGAAACAGGCCATGGGAGCCGAAAGGGAGCCGCTTCCGTAGAACAAACAAAACACGAGGGAAGCGGCCCCTGGGCGGCCATCAGCGCTATCCCCCCCCTCCTTGCCTCTCCCCTGGACCCCTCCCGAATGGACCTTGCCCCACACAGGAACGTCATCACTCGTACCTCGCTCTTTCCGTCACCTGGGCCGGCACGGGATCGGAAAAGAGCGCTGCAGGAACTGGCCCGAGATGGTTCACGGCACCCTTCGCTCTTGGGAGCCTTGGCGTTAAGAGCTTGTTGCGTCAACGCTCTCTGTTGGGAGCCCTGGTGTTCAGAGACTTGTACGTTGCCGCTCGCTCGTGAGTGTCTTGCTGTTAAGAGTTGTTTACGTCACCGCGCTCTGGGGAGCCTTGGTGTTCAGAGCTTGTTGCGTCACCGCTCGCTGCTGTTGGGAGCCATGGTGTTCCTTTTCGTCGCTGGGACTTCTTGGGAGTATTTTGGGAGCCCTTTGGCCGTTTTGGGACTATTGAGCCGTCTTGAGGCCAGCCCAGTCCCCACACCCAAGCAGCCCAGTCCCCATACCGCCTTTTGGGGCCCTCGTGGGGCTCTCTTGGGGCCGTCTTGGGGCCCTCTTGGGCCGTTTTCGGCCCCTTTGGGGGGCCTCCTGGGCCGTCTTGGATCTATCTGGGGTTCCTCTTGAATCGTGTTCGGTCTCTGTGGGGCGCCTCTGAGGCCGTCTTGGGACGATCGTTGGCTCCTCTTGGGCCGCCTGGAGCCCTTATTGGCCCGACAAGGGGAGAACCCGAAAACACCTGCAAAGCCTATCGAAAGTCAATGTGTTTGGCCTCCTCAGCCCCTCTCGGGGGCCCTCTTGCGGGCCTCTGGAGCCGTCTCGAGGCTCTCTCGGATCGTCTGGAGGCCATCTGCAGCTCTCTTGGGGCCGTGTCGGGGCCATCTGGGGCCGTTTTGGAGCCCTCTTGGGCCGCCTTGGGGCCCTCTGGCCGTCTCACCTGAACAGATACGAGGGAACACGCTATGGGAGCGGCCTGGGAGCCGCTTTCCGCAAAAAACGCAAGGGAAGAGCCTCCTCGGGCGGTCATTCGCACCCACCCTCCCAGCCCTCGACCCTCCCCTGGACCCCTCCTCAGAGGGCTTCGCCCCAACTCGACCTCCTTCGCTCGTGCCTCGCTCTCTCCATCACCCCAGAAGGGGGTGGTGCGAGCTCGGCATCATCGCGCTGGAGGTGCCGTGGGGGTCTCGCCGCCCCTGCCTCGGCCAGCGCACATTTCCGGGCCGGTCGATGCGGTGAGGTGTCGCTTTTTCGCCGTCTCGGTGCGACTCGTCCCCGACCTTCGAGCAGAGGCGAAGCGTCCTGGCTCGCCTGCAGGCCCACCGAGGAGTGCTATGAGAATTTTTGTGTGGTCTGCACCGACCGTTCTCAAGACATGTCTGGCTGAGATGGTCTCGTTCCAACGCAGCGGGGTCATGTTCCAAGAACGCCGTTTCGTTCTTAGAGCATCTGGGGGTTCTGAGAACACGTCGTGGCAGGCCTGTAGGAATGCTGGGACGGTCGGTCCCTGCTCCCGATCTTCCGCCGGACCGGTACAGCCAGATGCTTGCACGTCGTTGTTGTGCATCTTGGCGCAGTCGAACCAGGTCGAGTTCGACCCCTTGTCTAGGCGGCCCGATCCGACCCATGTTTTTCTATTCGATCCGATTTACCGCTCCGATGCTGACTTCTCCTGCACGACTGGACTCGGCCAGGAAAAGTGGCCAGGATGGATCCCGTTCTGAGAGAAGGGGGGTCTGGGGGCTAGGGCGAGGGGGGGCGGCGATCTAAGAGGGCTGGGAGGTTTCTTAGAAGCCCTCTTTGGAAAGTCTCCGATCCCTTCCAGAGGGCCGCCCCCCTCTGATCTTGCCCACATCTTGTGCGCCGCCGGGTGCAGGTGGGTGGACGGCATCCTCCCGTGCACAGGAGCACAATCCGTCCAAGCTTCCAGAGGTGGAGCAGATGTTCAAGAAGTACGCAGGCAGCCCCCCCCCCTGCCCCCCCGGAGAGAGTGGCCCCGAGAAGAGCGGGTCACACACCCTCGAAGAAGAAGAGACGCCATGAACACAAGCTGTTGGCGCTCCGCGCGGACTCCTCGGATCTGCGCTACGCCCCCCTCCCTGGCGCGCGGAGCGCGCGGCGCAGATCCAAGAGATCCGCGCGGAGCGCAAGAAGGTTATGTTTACGGCGTTGAATACTCTTCTTCGTATTATTATCACTGTTTCTCTTCGTATTCTTGCGTGCTTCTTCTTATTCGCCTCCGTCTGATTATTATTATGATGATTCGTTTTAGCATTGTCATTAGTATTTGCTATCAGTATTCGTTTTAGTATTTTATGTTTTGCTTATTGTTGTGCTATTCTCACTCTCCTGCTGCACCCGAAGGGGCCTCCTCGCGGGCCAGCTCTTCGCCCCGAGTCGCCTCTCTCGACGGCCCCGCGGCCCACGGAGGGCCCCCCGGGGGCCTCGAGAGCGGCATGGTCGCCGCGGCCCGCCGGGCCCCCGTTCGGCCCGGGGACCCGCCTCGAGGGGGGAGGCGGGGAGGGAGGAAGTGGGGGAGGAGGAGGAGGAGGAGCATCGAGGAGGATCGAGGAGGAGGATCGAGGAGGAGGAGGAGGAGGAGGAGGAGGAGGAGGAGGAGGATCGAGGAGGAGGATCGAGGACGAGGATTGAGGAGGAGGAGGAGGAGGAGAAGGATCGAGGAGGATCGAGGAGGAGGAGGATCGAGGAGGAGGAGGAGGATCGAGGAGGAGGAGGAGGAGGAGGAGGAGGATCGAAGAGGGGGAGAAGGATCGAGGAGGGGGAGGAGGAGGAGGAGGATCGAGGAGGACCTGCGTCCTCCAGGACCCCTTGCCTCCAGCATGCTGACTCGCTCTCTCTCTCTCTCTCTCTCGCCTCCTCTCCGTCGGCGCTTTTACGGCGTCCTGCCCCCCCGATCGGGCGCTCCGCGCTCCCTGTCGCGGGTGCGCGCCGGCTCCGACCGCGCGCTGCGGAGCGGCGACATTCGAGTCGCTCTCTGTGTAGGGCCGGCTCCTGTCGTGTCGACGCGGCTGCGCGGCCCCGCCGCGGGCTCTCGAGGTGGGCCGTCGCCAGTCGTCCAGCATGGAAGCAACGGGCGAACGAAAGGCCGCCGATGGTCCAAAAGGGTGAGCGATCCACGCCGGGGAGCCAGAAAAACCACCGCCGGAGTCGCCACGACACGAACTTGAGCGCTCACCTGAGGGGGCGGGCCTCCCCCGGACGCAGCCCAGTCGACACGAGAGGAGCTGCAGCAGGACCTCCTCCTCCTCCTCCTCCTCCTCCTCCTCCTCCTCCTCCTCCTCCTCCTCAAGAGTGGCCTGTGTGTGTGTGTCGTGCCGCGCCGCCTCGTGCTCAGCCACCTCGTGCTTCCCCTGAGCGGGCTGCCGGCGTCGCTGCAAGCGCTGACTTTGGAGGACGGGGGGCGAGAAAGAAGGGGGGCAGCGAGGGCTGCCGAAGAGGAGCCCTGTACGGCTCCTGAAGAGGCTCTGTAAAGTCCCAAACAGGGCCTTGAAGGTCCAAGAAGCACACCTTCTTCCCCCCCCCACCTTTCTCCCCCCCCCCATTGATCGCTCCCAGTAAGTTCGCGCCCACTAACTCCGTGCATCTCTTCTCTTGCACCCGCAACTCCCCTTTGGTTGCCCCCATCGGCACACGCTCGGCGGCAATCGGCTCGGGGCAATCCGCTAGCGCCCTCGCTGGGTTGGATCAGCTGGCCGCGAAGCTATGGATGGAGTGGGCGCCTTGTCAGCGTTCGGTCGCACTTATCTTTTCTCTAAGCGACCCGTTTGGGCCTTTCTCTCAGACTCAAAGATTGTTCAACATCATGATTGTATGGCTAGGTTCGCGTCCCTCTGCTTCTGAACATGCCGTTCGTGATGTGTTTCATCCTCAACTTCTACCTTCCAGGGTTTCACCTACGATCGGATGCTCCTGCAGCACACCTTGACGACGACGGCCGCTTAGCCAAGAACGTGTGCTTCTTGCCGCGCCTCGCCGGCGCCGCCCTGGTCGGAGCCCCCTCGGGCCGGCTTCAGCAGGAGGCTGGTTCGGGGGGCCGCCACCCCACAAGCCGACGGTTGCCCGCCACGGCCGCGGTGTGCAACAGGGTAAGCAAAATGAGGAGGAGGAGAAGAGGAGGTTCCGACCACCAGAACCAGTGCCAACGAAGTGGCATTGAGGAGGAGGAGGAGGAGGAGGAGGAGGAGGAGGCCGAGGACCCAGCATAGACCTAGCACTCCGACGAGCCGGGAGCCAGCGAGGCGACCAGGGCTCGAGCAGGGACGCGCTGCCTTCCCCCAGGCCGTCCCTGGACGAAAAGGCAAAGGCGGGGTGACGAACGGATCGGCTCGCCAGGGCCGAACCGCGGGAATATAGCTGAGGAGAAGGAGGATCAGAGCCCCGAATCATCAGGGGCAACTCGGGTCAGGGCTAATTTGGGTTCGTTTTGCGGGGAGCCGAACCCGAGTTGCCCTGGGCCCGCGTTACCCCCGATAGTTCGGGCGTCCAGCGCCCCAAATCATCATGGGCAACTCGGGTCAGGGCTAACTCGGATTCGTGTTTCCAGCATCCAAGCCCGAGCTACCCCGGCCAGGCCCGAGTTACCCCAGACAACGCGGGCGCCCAAGAAGAGGAGGAGGATCCGAGCACCCGATCCAAGGCCAACGGAGTCGAAGTCGAGAATGGTTGCCCCGCGGCCCGATGCCTTTGTCGGACGTGTGGGGGGGGGGGAAGCGGGGCAGGACGGGATCCGAGGAGGAGGGCGGGAGGGTTCCGAGGCCTTGTCTTTCCCGAGGTGGAGGGGGGAAGAGGGGCAGGACAGGAGAAGGGGGAGGAGGACGAGCAGGACGAGGAGGCGGGGTAGAATTTGCAGCAGTGGTTGGCGCCGACCAAGTGCAGCTGCAAGCCTTGCGACCCCAGAGGGGTTCCAGAACCCGCCTTCGAAGCGCAAGCGGTCCCCTGACAAAATTGAGGAGCGGGAGGGGGAGGAGCAGGAGGAGGAGGAGAAGGCCAGGCAAGATCCTCAAGGGCAACTGCATGTAAAGCGCACATCCCTCCCCTTCCTCTTCCTCCATTCCTCCGCACCTTCCTGCCCCCCTTGCTCACCCCCTTCGTCGAGCCTTCGGGGACGGTGCCGCCTGCACCGCTTGCCGCCCAGGGCTCCGTCGCGAGGCTCTGTGAAGTAATGCCTGTCGTCATCGTCGTCGTCGTCGTCTCCTCTTCCCAGACCTGTGCCCCGCGTGCGACCTGGGCCGATTCGATGCTCGATACCGTCCTGCCCAGCCCGCCCCCCCTCCAGAAAGACCGCCGGCCCATCTGCGCCACCGCCGGCACTGAGACTGCGCGCGCCGCGGGGGGAGACTCCTCCAGAGCTCCCCCCGTGCGCGTGCTCTCCTGGCGCGCTGGCGCTCGAGCCCTCGCCGTCCAGGAGATGGCCAGCCCCGAGTGCTCTTCTCGCCATGAATCTAGGCCTCCTAGATGGGTCCGAGTAGATGGGGTCGAAGGGTCGCGCCTCATCGCCGATGCATCGCCGATGCAGCTCGATGCGGGGCCCGATTTTCTCCATGCCGGCATCGCCGATGCAACGCCGACGTCGCCGATGCCATCGCCGATGCATCGTTGATGCATAGCTGATGCATCGGCAATGCGGCGCGATCCTCCGACCCCATCTACTCGGACCTGGTATAGGAGGCCTCTAATGAAGCAGACGGGTCCTGAGGGAAGCGGGGTCCAAGGGTTTTCGCCATCTTCGGGCTCCCTGAGCCATCCACTGGCTGCCGGGACTGCCAAAAACTGCTCAGGAGGATGAGTTGAGGCCAGGGAAAAACAGCTCCATGGCCCTGGACCCGCTCCACTCGGGACGCACTTGCCTGCATGTCAATCTCCACCTCTCCAGGTGTCCTTGGCTTTGGGTTCCCAGATTCCACAATAGGCGCCTTCCTGTTTACGAATCGGATGGGGTCCCTTTTCGGGGGGCGGGTGGAAATGCAATCTAGTTTCAGTGCCTTCCTACATCACGTTTCCACCAACTCCATCCGAACGATCTGTAAGCATAAGCGATCGGAGGTCCGCGCGGATGTCTTACGTCGGCGCTGGAACCACCCTGGCGGCGCCTCCAATGCCGTCCGTGGCTCGCTTCGCCTACAAGTGAGGGGGATCCATCGCCGACCTGAGGAATCCGCGCGGGCATCCGTGCTCATTCTGTTTGTCGTCGCTGCGCGAGAGGAGCGCGAGGGGGGGGAAAGGCGCGTCTTCTCGGCGAGCCTCTCTCTCTTCCAGCGGGGCGCTTGCGAGCACCAATGTGCTCCTTCCAACAGATGTTGCCCTTGCCGTACCCCCCCCCGCCAGGTGTCGAGAGCGACATGTACCTGCGGATCTGCGCGAAGTACGACACCGTTCCCGACCCCGGGCACCTGCCCTCGGAGGACGAGGAGGAGGTGGACGAGCAGGACGTGGACATCGCGGCAAGGCGACCTAGCGCCTGGGCTCGGGGGGGTCGGTGTGGAGTTGTCCTCCTCCCTCTCCCTCTCCCTCCCTCCTCTTCATCTCTCTCTCTGGGGTCGCTCTGGAGTTGTCCTCCTCCCTCTCCCTTTCATTCCCCCCTGTCTCTATTTCTCTTGTTTTGTCTTTTTTTGTTCTCTCTCCCTCTCTCTCTCTATATATAGAGTTTTCTCTCTTTCTGTATGTCTGTCTCTCTCTCTCTCTCTCTCTCACACTAGCTATAGGCAGAACATACATACTAGTAATAAGAATACGAATGCGACGAATGACATTAATCATAGTAGCAACAGCAATAAAACAAACAAAAACGAATAGTGATAAACATAATAGCGCTAGTAATACGAGTGTATGGTAAATCATAACAAAAAAAAGAAAAATAACGCATACGCATATACTGTACGAATGTACTGTACGAGTGTACTGTACGACTGTACTGTAAATCATAACCAAAAAAGAAGAAGACAAAGAAAGCATACGCATAAATGATGGGAGCTCTGCGGGGCACTCTCTCTTCGCCTCGCAGCTCCCCTGCCCTCCCTCGCTCGTCCCTGCCCCTCTTCGCCCCTCCCACGGGAAGCCCTCCGACGGAAAGGGCTGCGCCGCCGCGGACCTCCCGCCGCCGGCCAGCGCTCGTGGGAGCAGCTCCCGGGCAAGCGCCCCGCCGGGGAGGGTCCTGTGCAGTTCGACTGCGGTGCAGAGCCGCTCTCTCGGGCGACGCCGGGCCTCGGGCGAAAATCTGCCCCAGGGATCGCCAATGAGCTCGACTCGATGTCTCCCTCCTCGTTCTCCTCCTCCTCCTCCTCCTCCTCCTCCTCCTCCTCCTCCTCCTCCTCCTCTTCCTCGTCCTCGTCCTCCTCCTCCTCCTCCGCCTCCTCCTCCTGCTCTCCTCCTCCCCCCTCCCCTCCCCTTCTTCCTCCTCCTCTTCCTTCTCCTCCTCCTCCGCCTCGTCCTCCTCCTTGTCCTCCCCCTCGTCCTCCTCCTCCTCCCCCTCCCCCTCCTCCTCCTCGTCCTCCTCCTCCTCCTCCTCCTCCTCCTCCTCCGCCTCCTCCTCCTCCTCCTCCTAGCCCTTCTGGCTTTTGCGGGTGGTGGCCCGCAGAGCTTCCGCAGGCGTATTTCAGAGCGGCTCGTCTGCGGGGAGCCATGTCCGGGCTGTGAGCAGCGCGGGCGGCGACGAGGCGATGGAGAAGGTGGCCTTCGGCCAGCCACTCCTCATCGCCCGCCGCGGGCATGTGGAACTCGAGGTGTACTCGTACAGCGTCGCGGGCGCGATGGTTGCCGGTTTCTTCGCTGGGGCAGCGGAGGGCGACTGCGAGGTCTTGGGAGGAGGCGCTGGGCCAGGCCCAGCGGCCGAGGTCTTCATCGGGGACCTCCCGACCATCCAGGAGTGCGGCGAGGGCACAGACGAGAAGTGGTTGCAGGACTGCGACGAGCTTCCTCCCGTCCCCACCTTCCCGACGCTGGAGGTGACGACGGTGCAGAGCTGCGTGGGCTGCGAGGCGATCGAGGGCACCGCCGAGATGCCCAGTGTCGCGGGCCCCAGCGACGAGGAGAAGGGGCGGAGGCGCCGACGGTGCTGCACACCAACATGGGGCAGCTCGCAGTCGGCAGCGCGAGCAGGGACATGCTGGAGTTCGTGAACGGGGTCGACATCAAAGACGTCGAGGACCTTCCCAGGGAGACGATCAAGCTGGAGGACAAGCTGGACCATGCTGCTGGGGAGGCCCATCTTCCTGAGGAGACGGTCAAGCTGGAGGACGACCACACACCGCGGAACGAGTTCGCGGTCCAGGCGGTGGTCGTGCAGGAGATGGCCATGCACGAGGCCCTGGTGGATGTGGCCGTGCAGGGCGAGGTGCCGAGCGCGGGACTGCGGCGGAGCTGGGAGGCCACGGCGGAGGCCAACCATCAGCTGGCGCACGCGAGGGCCGCCGCCGCGGCGACATGCCGTCACGCCCAGTGGCGGCTTGAACATGACGAGCTGGAAGGCGTTGCGGTGCCCGCCCGCTCCGAGGAGATGCAGCAGTTCGAGGAGTTGGCCGGCGAGGGCTCCTTCGAGTGCATTCGCGGCCGAGGAAGGGGCCCGACGGGACCGCGAAGACCAGGTACATCGCGCAGGTCGGGGGCGACGACATCGCTCCGCTGGTGGCAAGCCGACGGTGAGGAGCTTGCCTCTCCTCTGCCATCGGCCGCCGAAGTTGCGGAGGGCCGCCAGTGGCGGCGCCCCAGCTTCGGCCCCAACTCTCCCCGAGACAGGTGGGCGAGCCGTGTGCGGCGGCGCGTAGTTGCGGGACTCGGCTCGAGGCGCTGGCGTCTTTCTGGGGGCGGCTTGGGGGCTGCTTCGTTCTGGGGGCTTCCTGGGGGCTGCTTCGTTTGGGCCGCGGGGTCTGGGTGCGGTCCTGGGGGCTGCGTTCGGCTACCCGTGGGTTTCCGCCCCCGCGGGGGTGGTGGGGCTTTGGCCGCGGTTCCCCCCTCCCAGGAGGTCCGTCGCTGGGGTGCACCTGTCTGGCGTGGCCCTCGGGCTCCTCGTCGCCTCTCCCGCTTGCGGGCCGCGGCGTCGGCAGGTGGACTTTTGTCCGCCCTAACCCACGCCATACCATACCTCTCCCCCCCCCCCCTGCTCATTGCTGAAGGAGGTGGGCAACGAGCTCGCTAATGGAGGCGCCGCTGTGCAGATTTCAGATAGTGCCCCGGATTTCGGCATAGATCGGAGACATGATGTAAATCGCCGTCGCGCTAGAGAAGCCTTCAGAGGTGGCGCAAAGGCGTGCGTAGAGGTAGTCGAGCTGCCACCCAGCGCCCCCTCAAGTCGCGCATTCGGTGCGAGCTTTTCAAGACCGGCGCAGGCCCCCACGCCATGCACGTATCTAAATGTCTTGGCGTGGCCCCAGGTAGACTTCCAAAGCCGCGGCAAGCCGCCGCTTGTGCCGTTAGGGAGCAGAAACAAGGCAGGTGTCTCACCACAATGTTGGCACTTCGCTTTGGATCCAGGGACCCCGCTGTTGTTACTGCGATAGGTTTGTTGGTGGAGTGGTCCCGTTATCTCAAGATGGGCGAGGCCCCGATCGAGCGCCTCCGCGATGCTTGGGGGGGGGGGGGGGGGGGTCATCGCCGAACCGCCGCCATCCCAGCCAACCGCAGGTGGTTCCGAATCCGAGGCCCTATCTCTGTAGTATCACCACCCTTCTGTCTCTTGGATGGGATACCCCTGGGCTCTTCGAGTGGCGGGGTCCATTTCATGAGCGCTGGGGCCAAGGCCCCGTTTCTCTCCGCCCATTTCTCGCTTCTTTCGACCCTTCCGACCTGCTGGCTGCCGCCCACAAGACCGCGGAGAGGAAGCTGCGGGCAGGCGCGCCCACCCAGCACCTGGGAGGAGGCATGGAGGAGGGCGTTGATCTTTTCAGTTTACGTCAACAATTAGCCGCGCTCGACAAAGCCCAGGGGCCTGAACGTCGGGCGGCCATCGAAGACTCCGCAGCTGCGGGCATGTGGCCCAGGCAGCGCAGTGCAGAGTGTTGCGTTGTGCAAGATGCGGATCCCGCATGTCCTAGATGTGGCACGGCCCCAGAATGCCTTAGGCGCCGTGTCTGGCAATGCCCTTACAACTCCGACATTCCTGAGCGTCGAGGCATGGACGACGTCGTAGAAGTTGCTGAGACAGCTCTCGATCAGCATTCAAACGTTTTTGGCTCCGCGCATGATTCCGCCCACCCTCGCGCCCATCCCCGACCCCCCTGATGCAGTTGAGCTGCGCGACGTTAGTTACCCACCTCGCGAAGCTGGCGGGGGGGCGGCCCCCGGAGGCTACGAGCCCCCAGCTGAGATCGCGGGTCACCTCGTCGCGGGGGATGGGTCGGGTGGTGAGACTGCTAATGACCCAAGGCTGAGGCATTGTGCTTGGGCGTGGGTCGAGCTCAACCCGAGGAGCGCGGGCGTCGATGCATTGCGCCGCCGGAGTGCCCCCCTTGCAGGCCGCAGACAGACCAGTAGCAGAGCCGAGCTTTGGGCTTTCCTGGACTGTTTGCAGCAGCTTTCTTGTGATTTGACGTATTTGTGTGATTCGGCCTCCGTGGCCCGCGGGCGGTTTAGAATCCTGGCGGGCGGTCTGCCCAAGTCTAATCTCGATGCGTGGTTTTCCGTGTCCAAGGTGGCAGTTTCAAGGCGAGGCCTAATTCATGTTTGCAAAGCCGAGAGCCATGTCAGTGTTGAGAGGTTCAGTGCGAGTGGTTTCCCCGAACTGTTTCGTCTCGCCAATATGGAGGCCGATCGCGTCGCTTCGAGGGAAGCGGGCATGCGCCGGGTCGATCCCCAGGTGGCCCAGGACGCGTTGGCCATCGACTCTTTCGCACAGCAGGTTTGATTCCATCTCGCTGCCAATCTCAGTGCGCCCGCGCCTCATGACAGCCGTTCGTAGAGAGAGAGAGAGAGAGAGAGAGAGAGAGAGAGAGAGAGAGAGAGAGAGAGAAAGAGAGAGGGCCAGGCCGCTCGATGGCATTCGGAAAGCTGGCCTCAGCAAGCCCGAGAAGGCCGTCCAGGCTTCCCTCCATAAGAACGGCCTCCAGTTTTTGGAATCTCGGTTTAGTTGCAGGTTGCGATTGGCCCGCAACCCCTTGCACCCCGATTGATTCCGCTGCTGCCCCCTCCGCTTCCTCCCAGGACCCCATTCGGATCGGCAGCCAGATTGTGCACAGCTCACGCACGTGCCAGTTTTTTCGAGCATGCTGACGGGTGGGCGTGCACCATTTGTGCGGCCATGGGCCACGTGACCCCTCCCCCTCCCCCATCCCTCTCCTCCTCCTCCTCCTCCTCCTCCTCCTCCTCCTCCTCCTCCTCCTCCTCCTCCCCCCTCCTCCTCATCCTCATCCTCATCCTCATCCTCATCCTCCTCCCCCATCCCCCTCCTCCTCCTTCTCCTCCTCCTCCTCCTCCTCCTCCTCCTTCTCTTCCTCCGCATTGGCTGTCTCCGAACACCGACAAAGGCGTCAATGGGATTTGCTAACGGACGTAGTGAACGATTCTTCCGACCCCTTAGACGCGCATTTCAACGAGCAGATGGACGCCGACGCCGCATCGCACAACGACCTGACCGCTCTGTACCAGCGGCCTCTCTGCGTCAAGTTTGCGCAGAAGAAGGCCAAACCCCACCTCGCGCGTCTTCCTCCCTCCCGCCAATGGCCCGTCGTCGACTTCACGTTCGTCCACCTCGCGTCGACTTCGCGTTCGCCCTGATCAACGCTCCTGCTTCTTCGGGTGCTCTCCTGAATGCGCTGCTGATGCCGTCGCTCATTACTGGGTGTGCCCGAAGCTATGGCATCCTTTGGCGCTCCCGCGCGGCAGGCTCGCCAACTGCATCCTCAAGAGGTTGGGACTACACGCCCTGAACTTCGAGGTCTTTCCATCCGCGGACGACCGCATCAGCCACGTCCACACCCGCGTGGCGGTGGTCTACCGCTTGTGACGCACCGTGAACGAGACGAACGTACTGTACCCTGCCAGCGACGGCAACGGGGTCGGCTACGCGCGCCTGAATGGAGCCCCTGCCGCCGCGCGCGTGGCCCTTCGGCACAGCGCCTCGCTGCACGGAGGCCGAGGCGCAGGCCCGCCGCGCGCCGCTGCTCAGCTTTCCTCTCCCGCCGACCGACCGCCGTCCCTTCTTCGTCCTCGCGCGAGTCTCTCCTCTTGCCGTCCGACCGTGGCCCCTCTTCGCCTTGAAATGCAAGCTACGCTGTGAGCGCGCCGCCCAAGCCGCCCCGCGAACCACTTGGCGCAGCCCGCGCAGGTGAAGGCCGCTAGACGCCAGACTTGCCCCTCCCAGGGTTCGTTTTCTCCTCTGCCTCCTCCTCTTCCTCCTCCTCCTCCTCCTCCTCCTCCTCCTCCTCTTCCTCCTCCTCCTCCTCCTCCTCCTCCTCCTCCTTCTAGCTGCTTTGGTTCAGGCACTTGCCTGACCCGCAGGTTCCTAGGCGCCCCTGCGCCCCTCCTCCTTCCCCCTCTCGCCCGCGCCCGCGATGGTCGTTTTGGCACGGCTTGCCTGGCTCCGCCGTTGCGTCGCCGATGGGATCGGGGTCCATTTGCACATCTGCTCCGCCCTGGACCCCACCAAGTGCAAGGCGCGGTTCATTGTGCGACCGCTCGAAGCGATGCCCTCGCAGATCACGCGTCGCCTGGTCCTGGGCAGCATCGCCTCGCTGGAGGAGGTTGCCACACACAGTTTGGTCTTCGATCAAGGCCACATGTTCTTTGACGGGAGCTCTGAGGTCGCGTTCTGGCACCACTCTCCTGGGGATGCGGTTCCTGGCGATGACGACGCAGGTCGCCCGGATGATTCTCATGATACAGGCGGACCTGGAGGCCCTGGCTCAGGTGGGGATGGACGGCGTCGTGGGCGTTCGCTTCATGATGAACATGAGGGCGGAGGTGATCCCTGGCAGGCTCCTGATGGCACAAACCTGTGGGCTGCGGCTGCTGCTGCTCAACGGGGGCCTCCTGCCAAGGCACCGCGGACACATCATGGTTGACCTGGAGAGCTTCTACCACTGCCAGCGGTGCCACGGTTTCCTTTTCAACGCCGATGCGAAGGAGTTCATCCCTTCTGCCGTGGCGGTCGAGACCTGCACGGACATGGTGCTTTACGAGCTTGGAGTGGTGCCTGCAGGTGCTGAGTCTCAGCATGGAGCAGACCTTCCGGGTGCCAGTGGGCATGGTGCGAATCTCTCTGCTGAAGAAGGGCACCTTCCCGAGCTTCGCGACAGGCCAGTTGTATATACCCCTGGTTTTCTTCTCCCTGAGTGGCAGGACGATTTCGTGGACCAGATGATGTATGAGCATGGTGATAGTGAGGACCTTGTACTATATGGTGAAGTTCTCCATGGGGGACTCCGTGGTGGTGCAGATTCTCTTCTGTGTCCTGGAGTGCTACCTGACGATGCGGATCCTCAGCGCGAAGTGCCTCCCAATGGAGTGGATATTTGTGGTGTGATACCTGGAAGTGCGGATCTTCCTGGCGAGGTACTTCCTGGAGGGCAACACGGTGATGCTGATGATCTCGGCGAAGTGCTTCCTGGAGGAGTGGAGGTACTTGGTGGTGCGGACCTTCAGGGTGGAGTGTTTCCTGCTGGAGTGGATGGCGTTGGGATACCACTTGGAGGTGTGGATCTTTCTGGCGAGGTAACCTCTGGAGGGCTCCATGGTGGTGTGGATCCTCGTGGTGAAGTGCTTCCTGGAGGAGTGCAGGGCGGTGGAGTGCTGGCGCCGGGCCTTCGTGGAGCCCTTGAGGAATGCTTCGGCCCGCTGGGGGAGGCTCAGAAGAGGATGGAGGCTCAACTCTTTCTCAGTTTCTCATGTCTCAGAGTCGATGGCCCTTCTATGCTTCGTGATGGTGATGGTGGTGAGGTCCATTCCTCACGTGATGCTGGGGTCGCAGATCCTCCACAAGGCGGCGGTGTGGTTCGAGTGATACGCGAAACGGTGTGGCATCATAGCGATTCGGATGACAGCGTCTTCGATGACCTTGAGAAGATGTGCAAGCACTATAACTGGCCATATTCTCTGTTCATTGGGCGTTATGTGGTGATCTTGGAAAATTTACACATTGGGCGTACTGGCCGAGTTATTGCTGTAAATGGAGACTTGCTGCATCTTGCTATGTACCCTTCTGATGAGACTGCTGTCGTGGATGCGCGTATTGCTCGGGAAGTTCGCGATCCTTCGACTATTCGACAATGGGAAGGGATGCTCGCAGCGCACTGGGCACGGACACATCCCTGATCGTGGAGGTCTCCGGTACGGCCTCGTCGTGCTCAAGGCCGCCGTGCCGCTTGCGGCCTGCCGGGCTCTGCTGTACTACATGGTTGTGGTCCTGGCGGGCTTTGGCATCCATCTGCACTTCGGGTTCGCGGTGGGATTCGCCCTCCCTAAAGGGCCTGACAGGTGGTCATCGGATGGGCGCATCCACCTCCTCCCCTGGAAGAGAAAAAAATCTCCTCCTCCTCCTTCTCCTCCTCCTCCTCCGCCTGCTCCTCCTCCTCATCCCCTCCTCTTCCTGCTCCTCCTCCTCCTCCCCCTCTTTTTCCTCCTCTTCTGCCTCCTCCTCCTCCTCCTCCCCCTCCGCCTCCTCCTCCTCCTCCTTTCCTCCTCCTCCCTCCTCCTCCTCCTCCTCCTCCTCCTCTTCCTCCTCCTCCCCCCCCCCTCCTCCTCTACATCCCCTTCCCCTTCCCCCTCCCCCCCTCCCTTTCCTCCTCCTCCTCCTCCTCCTCTCCTCCTCCTCCTCCTCCTCCTCCTCATCATCCATCATCATCATCGTCATCATCATCATCATCATCATCATCATCATCCCCCCTCCCCTCCTCCTCCTCCTCCTCCTCCTCCTCCTCCTCCTCCTCCTCCTCCTCCTCCTCCTCCTCCTCCTCCTCCTCCTCCTCTGTGTCTTCTTCCTCCCCCTTGCTTTCAAAAAAACGGGTACGTGGACACGTGCAGGAGTTCGCCCTGGCCAGAAACCTGAAAGGGAATCCAGCTGCGGCGACGACGTGCCCTTTTGCGACCCCCTTTCCCCCTGGGACGGCCGCGAAAAACAAAGCATTCTGTCATGTTTGTAAAATTTCGACGACAACGATGACGGCGACGGCGACGCTGACGGCGACGGCGGCGGCGACGGCGACGGCTGGGGCGACGGTGACGGCGACGGCGACGGCGACGTCGACGACGACGACGACGACGACGACGACGACGACGACGACGAGCCCGCGCGCGATTCGGGACCCAGGCAGCTGCACCACGTGGAGCGCCACGTGCCTTGGCTGCGCTGCTCCTCGCCAGATCGCATGCGGGCCCTGCTGGAGATCCGCAAGGCCCTCTGGGGAACGGTCGCCGTGGCCGCCGCCGTCATCGTCGTCACTTGTCGTTGGCGTCGTCGCTGTCGTCTTCGCCGCCGTTTTCGACGTCTTCGTCGCCCTTCGTCACCGACGTTGGGCGTCACCATCTCCGGCCGCTGTCGGCATCGGCGTCCTTGGTGGCTTCGCGTGGGCATCTTAGCAGCGTCTTGGGGCTGCCTTGGGGCTTTGAGGCGCCCACTGCGATGGGCTGGGCCCTGCCGGCGCCCGCCCTGCCCGACGACGACGACGACGACGACGACGACGACGACGACGACGACGAGGGCAACGACGACGACGACGACGGCGACGGCGACGGGGACGGCAACGGCGACGGCGACGGCGACGGCGACGGCGACGGCGACGGCGACGGCGACGGCGGCGACGGCGACGGCGACGGCGACGACGGCCACGGCCACGGCCACGGCCACGGTCTTTCCTCGCACGGCGTCCGCCTCCGGCTGCAGGGGAGGGGAGGGATGCCGATGCCGCTGCTCGTTCTGGAGATGCCTCGTGGCCGCGGCTGGATTCTCCCAGAGTTTCTTGTTAGAACGCACCCTGGGAGAGGTCCGGAGAGTGGCGGTAGGGTTAGATCAGAGTAAGGGGGCCAAACAGTCATTCATTATCCCTGGGTGCGTGGCACCGCGGTGGAGGTTGCCGAGGCGTTGTTGCTCTTTGTTGTTCAGTTGACATGGTTATTAAAAACAGGGGCCACAAAGGGCGGCGATGTGGTCGGCTGACAACGGGGGGCTGATCAGGCCCACCTCCATGGGAGCCACCACGGGGCTGGGCGCCCCGAGCAGTTGAGTAGATGTCGTTGTCGCGTGGCTACAGCCAACCGACATCAGAAGATCGTCGACGCGCGACCGGGCAGGTTGGTCCGACTGCGATCGTTCGCGCCGCGTGCCGCTCGCCAAGAGTACGATCGCGTCCTCCTCCGTCCTCCTCTGCCTTGTCCATCCCCCCCGATGTCTATTGTCATTTCCCTGCGGCCTTTTCCTCCTTATCCTCTTTCACTTCCTCTGCCAGTTCATTTCCTCCTCTGCCCGCTTCTGCCCCTACTCTTCGTCGTTCTCCGCAATTTCCTCTTCGCCCCCTTCCTTTTCCATGCCCTCCCAATCAAGTATCATCGTCTTCGTTGTCCTCCTGCGCCCCCCCATCTTATTTGCGCCCTCCTCCCGCGCCCTCCCCCACTCCTCCGCTTTCCCCGCGCGTCCTTTTAACGAGGGCATCAGATTCCTCATTGTTATTAGTTTGCATGTTCCCTCAATTTCCCACGGTCGCACTTTGGGGCCTCCTGTTCCTCCTCGCTAGTTCCTTGCGTCGTTCCCCCGTTTCCTCGTTTTCTTTCTCCTCCCCCCTCTGTTTGTTGTGCCTCCGTCGGGAACCTTGGGGTGTCCCGGGGCACTCTTGGATGTTGTTCCTTTCGATACCGTTTTGGCGTCCGAAGGTGGGCAATCGCCAGGAGCCCAATGTCTCCTGCCGACACCTCGCCCCACCCCCCGCCAGGCTCAAAACGAGGGGATACTGGGGGGCCCTCCCCGAAAAAAGGTATTTGTGTAGTACTGTTGGCCGTTTCCGGTGCCCCTCGTATAAATCTACGCTGTGGTTTGCCGATTCCGGCGTCCCTAGTGTAGATCTACATTGGTGCTTGCCGTTTGCAGTGTCACGAGTGTAGATCTACATTGTCGTTTGGCCTTCTCTGTTTACCTGGCGCTCATCTGCATTAGCGCGCGTGTGAATTGGATTTTGGCGGGGCGCGCGTGTCCCAAATCTACATTAGTATTCGGTCAATGTAGATGTGTTTGGGGTCCCGAATCTTCATCAGGAGCGTGCTAATGTAGATTTGTCGCTTCCGTTTTGCGAAAATTGCATGAATGCGGGTCTACCGTAGATCGGTGTCCTGCTCAACTGTGTAGATCTACGTTGGGCCTTTGCCCATCGCGGCGCCCCAGTGTAGATCTACATTGTGTTGTTTGCCCACTGCGGCCCCGAATGTCGATCTACACCGTGCCTGTGTTAAGTTGGATTTCCGAGAGCAGAGACAGAATTAAGGCGGTGCCAAAATTGATTTCCGGGAGCGGAGAGGGGGCGGGAGGAGAGGGCTGGCGGGGAGTGGTAGTGAGGGCGGTGAGAGCGCATTGGGGGGGCAGCGGTGGGAGTTCTCGTTCACGATCTGGCCCGATGTGCCCTGGCGATGGCGCGAGGAGACGGGGTGGCATGGGGGGGCGGGGGCGAGGGTGACGGGGCGCACGATGAGGAGGGCCTGGGAGAGGTGGGCGTGGGGGGGGGGAAGTGAGAGGGCTTGCGTGCGGCACGCATCAAGGTCGCGAGCGTTCCAAATTTCGCCTGGACACCCAGGGTCCCCCGAGGGGCAGAATGGCCATTAAATTCACATGACAAAGAGGAGTGGGAGGAAGGGGATGAGGAGGAGGAAAATTACATGAAGAGAACGAGGACAATGAGGAACAGAGGGCATGGAGGGCATGGAGGCGGATGCAAAGGCAGATGGCTCGGTGGATGAGGAAGAAGAGGAGATGCAGGTCGAGGTGGGAGCGGAGGGGGGATATGAGGAGGAGAAGGGGCGGCAAGCAGGACGTAGCGGGCGGAGGTGCGCTGGCAGAGGTGGAGGTGGGGATCGGCGAAAATGTGCGGGCGGAGGTTAGCATTCTTACCTCATTGGGGCTTCCGGACGGCTTCGGGAATATCTCGTGAAAGATCCGAAACGGTTACATGAAGTAAAATACAGTCAAATGTTTAACAGCATAGACCGTTCACGTGTTTCCGCCGGCACCCAGCCCGACCAGGCCAAGCCTCAGGCGTGGTTGAAAAATAAATTTTAGCGTTCGGGGCGGGGTTGCCATGGACCCCCTTAGGCGCTCTAGAAACAGCCCCCCGCAGTAACCCAAGCGAGGGGGCCACGAAGGGCAGCGAGGGAGCCACGAAGGAGTGCAACGGGGCCACGAGGGGCAGCGAGGGGGCCACAAGGCTGCAACGGGGCCACGACGGACAGCGAGGGGCGCCACGAAGTGCTGCAACGGGGCCACGAAGGGCAGCGAAGGGGCCACGAAGGACTGCAACGGGGCCACGAGGGCCAGCGGAGGCACGAAGGGCTGCTACGGGGCCATGAAGGGCAGCGAGGGGGCCACGAAGGGCTGCTACGGGGCCGCGAAGGGCAGTGAGGGGGCCACGAAGGGCTGCAATGGGGCCATGAAGGGCAGAAGGGCAGCGAGGGGGCCACGAAGGGCTGCAACTGGGCCACGAAGGGCAGCGAGGGGGCCACGAATGGCTGCAATGGGGCCACGAAGGGCAACGCGATCCTGATTCGTAAAAAAGCCGCGAGGAAATCCTAAGCGTGAGCGCGACTCTTGGGTGCCTGAGTGTCGGTAGCGCGGCGCTTAAGCAAATTGCTGGATTTTTTCGCGCAAGATCGCGATTCTGGACTAAATTGCAAGCAAGTCTCCAGCGAGAGCGCGATTCCAGAGCGCCGAGAGAGCGAGTCCTGCATATATTGCAAAGAAGTCCCAAGCGAGAGCGCGATTCCTGCGTAAAATGCGAGGATGTCTCAGGCGGGAGCGGGGTCCTGGCTAAATTGTAAGGAAGTTTTAGGCGGGAGCGGTTGTTGTTGTTGAACATTATTTATTCTAAAGAATAATTATTGTTGGGCCCCCTGGTGCGCGCCCCCCCTGCGCCGCCTAGGCCGCAGCTACATTTTCATAATTTTCGTGAGGAAGCCTCAGAAAAGAGGGTGTGTACAGGATCCGGTTGTTTTGTTGTAATCCGCTTTCCCTTGCAAAAAACAATAGAAAATGACATTTCTTGTTCTAATATAATCAAATTTCAAGAATCCCTTGCAAAAAATAAGGTAAAGTGGACATTCGCGCGCGCAAGACGAAATCCTTCCAAAACCTTAGTGTTCGCAGCGATTTTAACATAAAAACATCAAAAAACCAATGGTTTTTCAACAAAAAATGTCAAAATCTCATCCCGCGCGCTCTTGCGGATTCGTAGGAAACCCAACACTTTTTAAACATTTCTGTCAAACGGGCTTTTGCGAGCAACTTTTTCGAACTTCTGCGACAACGGTTGCGCACCTGCCAGGGCCATCATCCCTGTCAAATAATACCATGCGGGACACATTCGTTTTTTCTTCGCGCGCGCACGCCGTCGTCGTCGGCCGCGGGGCCCTGAATAGTAGCCACGGTCGTCCGCATGCCACGAAGTGAAGTGTCCGAACGTCATAGGGCGGGAAGCTGGGTGTGGGTGGTGGCGAAGAGTCGTTTGGAAATTTGGTAGAGCTTGAACCGGCCCCCCCACAAAGTGGGGGTATTGCCCGCCTCCTATGAAAACCCTGGCACTGGTGAGAACGGAGTGTCCCCACGTGCTAGTAATTGTTGTTGTTGTTGTTGTTGTTGTTGTTGTTGTAATCTGGGGGCCAGGGGCGTAGTTTCAGCTTAGCGACTGTCCCTGATACGAAACAGGGTGCGAGCCCCGGGGGACGCACTTCAATCAAAAACAAAGGTCACCCAGGGGGGGGGGATCAATCATGATTCTTCAGTAGTGGGAGTTCAACAACGACGACGACAACAACGGCTCCCGCCTGATACGTCCTCACATGTGTTTTGAGAATCGCGTTGTCGCGCGGGACTTCCTCATAATGTATGCAGGAATCGCGCGCTTGCGTGGTATTTCCTGGCAATTGATTGCGGCGCCGTGCCCCCAAGACTCACGAATCACGCTCCCGCGCTGGAGCTCCCACCGACTTGCTTGGGAATCGCGCTGTCGTTCGAAACTGCCTTCGATGATGGGTTGGCGCTTCAGCGACACGCCCGCTCCACCTGGCCGTCTGTGCCCGCCGCCCGTCTGGTTTTGCCGCTTGTGTTTCTGGTCCTGGCCCTCCTCCTGCAAGTCGCTTTCGTGTTCCATCCTTCTCCCTCCCATTGCCTCTGCACTCCTCCCTGCGCCAACTACACGCGGCA